GGTATTGCACTTCGCGTATTCTTCCGACTAATTAATATGTTCAAGACGATGTCGAATGAAGTAAAAAACGGAGCAGTATTACAAAGTTACTTCGACTTAGTTACCATAACCTCAAGAAAATTCACATTCAATGTAACGTAATGTCGACCCGTGACAATATATTATAAGTTAACTAAACAAAGGTTGATGGCCATTACTGCATCTGCTAAAGCGCTCCATCGTGTACAGGTATACAGAACTAACTGATAAAACAGTCGAGCTATCATGTTCTATCCGTTTCTATATCATTTCTCTATGTGTATGGTAGATTCTAAAGCTAGCTAACACATCGAACATATATTATCATAGTCACTGAACAAAATTACGTTAGTACCAGTACACCAGTGAACCAGTACAAACATATGAAAATTATAAATTAATGTATGTCTACCATACCGGTTGGCGACTAACACCTCACAGAACGAACGTTCTGGGATTGACTGGCTTGGCCTGACTTCCGACCTCTTCAGCATCTTTAACTTTAACGGTTCCAGTCGTTGATACTCGTCCGCGTCATCTCATGGCCTCCAGACGGGCCGGTTCCCGCACCTCTTTCCCTACTGTTCGTAAACTGACATCATGGACCATAGTTCGATAGGCTTGTTTTAGACTCTCCCCCATATTCTTTTGTCGCTCGATGGAGTACACCATTGCTGCTTTGGGGTAACCGTCGTTCGTTCTAGGGACTGCCTTTCTATTGAGTGAAGGTACCTGTCTCTTGCAGAAATAAATTGCTCGCACCCACTTTCCTTCCGCACGTGACCAGATCTAGTTTCAATGGACATTTCTTTTGATATGCAACTAAAACGAAGCAAAACACCAATAAAGTCTCTCTCTGTAAGATAAAAGATCTGATCGTTCCTGTTCACTGGACCACAAACTATGGTTTCGGTCAGCTACATCTCACCCTTTAACTAATAAACACCATTCATCACATTTGAAGCAATATATTTTTTTAATATGTCAACCGGATGTTTGCTCTTTTTTCTCTGAAAAAAACCACCAGGCCAAGACCAGAGGAGTAAGGTAAGCTCATTTCGCTTTGTTTTTTCACCCATCTCGTAACACTGGGAAATATGTTTGATTAGCGATTCAACAAAACTCCCGTCGAACCCACTGATATAAAAACCTACTTGAGAATGTAAAAAAAAAATGCCTAACCTACTTATATGAGCACAATTTGTTAGGTTGTTCATTGCCTGCCTTAGCTTTGCTTATCTAATACCAAGATCTTAGTACAACTTAATGAAACCAGTCGTTTCATGTCCTGTAAAGGTCTAATAGGTACGTTGTGTAGCCAGAAAAGCACTCGATGCGCAGGACGTTCGGAACGATAGCGGCATCGTTCTATTTCTCAGTAAAGCCTATTCACAATTTATTTTCCATCAGCTACTTCGAAATACAAAATAGCTTTCCACCAAACCGTTACGCTAAAGGTGCGGGTTTTCTACTGCGTGTTGTTGGAGCCCTATAGATGTTTCGAAAGCGGGCGGCGAACGACCGAATTCAGCCGAACTCCGATCCTATATGAAAGAGCGCAAGCGTTAGTAAATGCAATCCTTATAAAAATGTTTAGTATAAGCTCAACCAGAGAAGGTGACGCCCTGTACGAGCCTGATACAGTGATAAACGCGCGGTCGATATACGATAGAACGCCATAAAAAAAAGTTTCCAAAAGTTCCAAATAGCCATCAATTACTTACTTTGATACCATGGATGAAGATGCATTCGATAGTACAATGGCTGGTCAAAAACAGAATGTCAAATTGTAGAGGTCTATAGAAGTTTTCATTTTTCATAGAACCAAGTTCGTTTCTCACTGAGCTAGGCAAAAGTCGTGAATAGAACGTAGACAGAAACTATGGTAACGAACCCAATGTAGAGCTATTCATACGTACGCTTGTACTGCGAACTATATACGACTTGCTGATCCATATTCTACCTGCGGTGTGCTAACACACGGAGTGGAGTAACTCTAGTCGATAGCATAGCAACCGCAGTGAATCAGCCGAGCAAGGCTCTTGCTTGCACCAATACCGTATTGACGATATTTCTGCTGCGTCGACACTATAAACCACACTAGCACATGGTAGTGCTGTTGCCAGCGTAACTCATGTTCCGTATGTCCATTTCTGTTTCTTACACTCTCCAGCAGTCATTGTATACATGCAGTCGAAGGACTACAGTATCGTCCTCTTCTATATGTGTAGTTTTGTTTTGTCCATGGCAAACCTTATCCAAATATATATATATATATATATATATATATAGCGAATCAAGGCCTGCATCAGCAGTATCTTATGTTCCCCCACGATTGGCCTGGTTCCTTCCTCGCACCTTCCGCTCTTTTTATGCTTTTCCCAAGCGAACACAACACAGTTCGTGTCGAAGCCATAACCGGCTTCGTATCTATCTAGGCAAAGTGAACGGATGAGGATATAGACGTCCGAAAGAAAAGACGAAAAAATGCTTATTTACCTAGCAAACCGAACTACGTTAGGCCAACTTTGTCAACGACGACTAAGACACCATAAGGATGCGCAGGGGTTGTCCTTGCTGGATTCAGCCCGTTGCAGTTTTGAGCACGCAGAGCTAAGCATGGCCGCTTGTGCCTGTCGAACAACTATCGGTGCAGGCGATCGGCTTGGCGTCAGCACACGAGCGCGTCGATCCTGCCATAGAGCGAATCAGGCTCTGCGGAAAAACTCCTGCCTGCAAAAAGGTCACCGCGAGCTGGAGAAACGAAGAGAAAGACGAACACCAACACTAGAAAAGTCGCTTGACAGATATTACGTTGAAGGGATACTAACACTCCTGGATGAAGAGGGAACGCGGAGGTTTCGATTTAGGAATGGCCTAGGAGTTCGGATGAGTCGGTGAGTGAGTTAGGGTTGTCGGTCGATGGGTTAGGAGATTTTGGGACGGGGTCGGGGCAGCCAATTTCCCTCAGGCAGTCGGCTGCTTGGCCGCTCTGCAGCTGAGTCTCTGGGGGCATGACGCGGCAGAAAAACTCACGCGCTGCTTCGCTGCCTCGGTTCGTGCCTCCAGCAACGGTCGTCTTCAGTAGGCCATCCTTGCTGCTGCCAAAGCTGGCATGAGCGGCGGCCGCGGCCCCGGGGCGCCAAAGCAGTCACTCTTGCACCGAACAGAGCCGAACAAATAGATTGCCTTCCGCCACTACCATCATTTTACTCTGCCGTCACTACCATCATCATCAACAACGTTATAGCCTTAGTATATCTATAAGCAGCGGCAGCTTGGCTGGTGGATAACGACAGACGCTCACAGCACAGCCCTAATACTGCAAGAGACACCCAATAATGAGGAAACAAATAGCTTAGAGAGAAGGACCTAGTCGCATGCAATAACAACGTCCCTATCCAGGAAATAAGTGAACACAACAACTTCGAAGCAAAGCGTCGTTAAAACAGGAACTATGGACCAGTGAAGAGTTCAATAACACACTGACATTTTTATGTAATTGCCTGTCCACTTTGCCTAAACAGTGCATCCTTATAAGTCCTATATAGTATGAAGGCGACCTGATTATGTACCTCTGCAAATACGTAAAATTTGATAAATTTACAGGCTGGAATAAAGCACAAGAAAATGAAGAGTTTAGTGTATTTATGCCGTGTTTACTCATATGATTACGATAAGAGGAACCGATTTTTGCGCTAAGCACTATGCATTAAGCATTGACCTTGCAGGTATTGAAAAAGGCTAGACAGTTGCGACCGAAGCCTTTTATTTGGAAAGCGTATAATTCAATTTCAGCGTAAGATCTAACATGGTTTCTGACAGCTCCAGGGAGTTCGGACAATATATCACTGGTAGATCCGAAATCTAACGGTATATACCAAACTATACGGCTAGATAAACTTTACGAAGGCATGGTGCGTCGGCGTGTCGGTAATGTGTCCGCAAAAGCCTGAGATATCGTTTTAAAGAAAGCCTACTGCAAACACGAATATGCAGCTTTTGCTGGCCGTTACTAATTAGTTTTTATTAGGGACAAGTTTCTATGTATATACACAAATAGAACTTAGATATTGACACCTGACTTCCTGGCAAAGTTCTAAAAATCTTTTAGATGAAGTGAGATATTCAATGCAAAGTAAAGAAAGCGTATCAAGGCGCTGTCATGTTATTATGTTAGTGAAATCGAAGTAAACAAAACCATATATAAGCTGTGACTTCCATATAACCAATACAAATGTACAGTGTGGGCCAGTGGATTCGAAAAGCTCTTTGTCATGCCAGAGCCCGGAAAATAACAAAAACAAAAAGAAACAACAATTGCACCGGTGTGCTACTAGTGGGCAATTTTGATTTCTATTTAATTTTACTATCCTATATTATTTTATGCACCATTTCAAAAATACGCAGATTCCTCAGAAATGTTAAGTATTTAATCAAGATAGTAGTTATTATATTACTGAGGTCTAGCATTTGAATAACATTAAATAAGGGGTAAGTAGTCCCTAATAAACATAGCTTTTATTTAAGATGTTTGTATAATTATAAGGACAAGAAATAGTACATTTTGATGCTTGGAAAATTTCATTACTAAATCAAACTAACAATACAACCTTGAGTTATAGATGCTACAAAAGCAGTCTTGAGATGACCTTGTCGACTAGTCGAAACTTATTTTGTTTTATGTAATCATGTCGTGCTACGATTCAGGCTTAGCATAAGTTCTTTGCAAAACAAGTAAGTCTGACTATGGTTGCCCATTGTATTCATTAACCAAAAGTTGATACCTAATGTTACAACGAAAAGCTATGTCCAGCGACTCTTGTGTGCTGATGGCGTTTGTCCGTTTACGGAAAGCAGAACACTTTCTATTAGTAGTTCTATTCCATTAAAATTAAGAATACAGCTTCATATAAACATATTTTTCCCTTTTTACAAATTCTTCGATTCAACAATAACAAGAAAATTTCATAAATACGTACCCATTGAATCGTAGCATCTCTTTTGCTGTAGCGAGTTCGCGTTTTTCCTCCATTTGTGCGTGCCGCTTGCGATTTTCGTGAATGCCGCAGACATCCTACTGGTAAAGAGTTAAGTAAACTGAACCTTTTTTTTTATGTACATCATTGTATATTTTTATGCGGCCAACCAAGACACAAATGGATCAGCACCTATATAATGACAAGAAATCTGAAGTCACGAACAAACACACACAATTGTCCACAAATACGATAATCTGATGCCTAATGTTTATCAAAATATTGTTAGAGTCCGCTTGACTGCTTGTTCTGTGGCCGAGCGCCTGTTTTATCTATAGTAACCTATGGCGGTTTTCATCGATTCCTTCCTCGTCCATTGACGAACGGGTCGTTCTAGCACGTGTATGTGTGAGAGCGAAGTCAGTCGGGCAACCGTTCCCCCCGCTCGATCCAACTGCTCTGGGGGACCAGGCCGCCATTTTCGACCCACGATCCAGCTTGGAATACTCGGATTATAAGCGAGGGCATGTCTGCGGAGGGCAATTCAAGGAAGGGTACAGAGGAAAGGGCACGAAGTCCCCAACGAACGAAGGGCCGGAGATCAGAGCCGCAGCCAGCTAGTATTAATTCATACATTAGAATAAAAAGGACCAAGAAAAGAAATCAGAACACTAGCTTACAGCAACTTTATTTATTGTTTAATGATTACCGGGGCATATTCTCTCTATGTGCAGTCCAACAATCGTATTCAAGCCGACATATTTTCATATAACTAGAGCAAAAGCAGAAACTTTGATCTCAAAAACCTGGACATGTCCCGAAGTCGGGGTTTGCTAATAAAGGTAATCACGGTAAGGCTTAGGCGTGCAAACATATCGACTGTTACGGTACGTTGGCAATAATTTATATAAGAAATGTCAACGTGAGTATTTTTAGTATAGTCATCCCATTAGACTTTTAGTGGTCCTTGATGGTTGAAAAAAATCGGGCAATTTTACGATGTATCTATCACAAGTCTACAAACTGAAGCACAGGATTAATAAAAATCGGGTCTAAGCATTTATTGAACAGGTGCCATCTTATATTGAATTTGAAAAAATCAAGTTAAAAGTTAACTAGATGTTTGTTAATACATAGGTAAAAGACTGCATAGTAGCGATCCAGAAACTAATATTTCCGCTAAATTTCTCCAACAAATGGGGAAGAGTAACAATTGACGAGTGCTTTTGTTTATACCGAATGCGAAAAGGCCAAGTGTTATAAGAGCTAATAATAAAAAGACAGATGCAGCTGAGGACGGCTACTGAGAGTATGCGCACGACAATGAGGCTTGTCTTTAAGGATCATACAAAAAAAACGCGACATATTAGTGGCTCTATTAACAAGCTCGTTGCGAGTACTGAGAAAAGCTTTTCTGATATAACCAGAATTATTTTTAGCACGTAAATGTGTGAGGATATGAAAATCAAGCTGGCCTGAAATAAAGAAAGGATCTTCATGTATGCTATCAGGTCAATGCGTATTGCACATTGGCGTACTTCGTAACGTACAGGTTTGTAAGAGAACAGAAGACTGAAAGATTCTACCAGTCATAAAAGTATATTCCAGAATAGTACAAGGAATTGCAAGACGTTTCATCACAACTGTAGATACGAAGCTCCGTGAAGGGTACATATAGAGCTATGCTTTACGAAGATCAATTTTGGCTTAGTGATTTACTGACCTTAATTAGTTGGTCAGAGTTGTATTGTCATGAAAATAAATTCTTAGCGGATTAGATCTCCAAGATGGACGAAATGGACGAGGATGGATGAAATTACTGCACTAAATTATAATATAGTGGGTTATTGGGGTAACTTGTACGTCATTCTTCAACATTATAAACCTCGGAGCATTATAAGGTGGCAGTCATAAATATTTACTCTAAACAAACATGACGCGTCAACTTAGTAAATAAATCGCTTTGTATGTAACGTATATGGTGGCAAGGGGTTGAAGTGTGAACATTCGAGTGAAACGTAGAATCAAAGACCGATATAAAAGTATTAAGTTATAATGTTTAAAAAGTAAAAGCATTGATGCAAATAAAAGAGGGTACCATTAAACTGAAAAAAGTATGCTTAACCTAGACCCTACCGTATTTTAGGTCTCCCGGTCAGGACCACTTGCGTCGTTGATGAGTACTGTGGTAAGCGACTTAAACGCTAAATTCTCTTTCCCTGGGTTAATGAATCAATGAAAGTATAATTTCAAATAAGTCTCTTTATTATTATTATAGTTGTGACATCGCGTCAGGGAGATTCCAGTCCGTCTTACTCACACCCGTTGTCCAAATCTACTCTTAGCCTTCAGTTTGCGGCTTTTCTCAAAGGCATCTAAGTGTATATATATATATATGTATATGCGAAAAATGCTAGCCAATTTCTAGCTTTTCATTATTTCAAGGTACGATACGATCAACGGAATTATCATTGAAAAAGGGCCAGTTCGATAAAGCTCGTTAAACTTTCGATCAGGATAAGATTTAAAATCTAGAGTCGATAACCTAAAGGTAAGATGGAATCGAATTAGAAATGCAATCCCGTTATTTCCGGACCACAATGAAGTATTTTCTATACTGCTTTTTCGATCTTTGGCTAGTTAATCTTTTAGTTAACGGATATATTACAAACATGGATACAAGCAATAACAAACACGACATCGTAGTACAAAATGAAGCCCAACGAGCCCACGTCCAATGACCCTTTATAATAAAGCTGAGCGTATCACGTGAAAAACACAAATTTTCAATTTACAGTTTTTACAACCTACAGTTACAAACATTAGAGGAGGAAGTACATATCGGAGATTTCGTGAGTCCTGACCTGTACGAACAAGACGCGTGACGTTGCAGCAAGGTTTGAAATGCATGATAAATCATATCCAAGCTTCTTCTCATGAAAAACCTCTATATTCTATGTTCCCCATAACTAATTCGAGTTTGGTACACACTCGAAAGTACGCCAACAGTGGCATCTAGCTGGCTTACGGATGCAAGTTACCGTCTTCGATTTACCACGTTTGTCATTATGCGATTTAATTTTTCTATTTCTATACGATCTAACTATTTAGTGACTCGCTTCCTTCAAAACGCGAGTTCACTGGCCCCTTTCCTTACACAAGAACTAATTTTCTGGCAGAGATGTGGGAGGTGACCCAGATTTCCTATCTGTGTGGGCCACCTTCTATTCTGATTGAAAAACGAATCCGTCAAATTGGCCCTATCCAACAACAGGTTTCAGCATCAGTTTTGTGGTATAATTACATTTTAATACAGCTAATCGTAGCAGTAATTAAGAGAAACTGCTTTAAAACAAAGGCTTGTGAAAAAGGTCATCAATAGGTCAAATTATGATAAAAATCAGCATAGATAAGTATGCAGTGACTGGTTGTACTGACCGATTTAGTTAATTAAGACCGCGCAATTCGGCAGTAAATGCGATAGTTCCGTGTACGCTGATTTAGTGAGTACTATTAAAGATAGTTTTAGACAACACAGAATAAGTTTTTTACATTAAAGAAGCCAGAGGTCGTTGGTTTAAGTGCAGTTGTCCAACATGTACTAAAGCATAAAGGATCATTACCGTCTAAACTATGCTTGCAAAATAGACTCCACCAAATCATTAGATGAACACAGCATCGCCATAGGATGGTATAAAGATAAGTGCAGTCGTCCGTCCAGCGTTGGCTCTGCGTATTTGAAATGTATACTTTAACTGTCATAAAAAAATGTAAGGAACTTGAATCCCGTTTCTCTCCTATAGGTCGTTTCTAACAACATTTTTCGCGCAGGCTAGAAGTAGGTTTTTTGACGGGGACGTTTCAATCCGCAAATAGCAACTGCGCGTTAAGCAATATTGGTAAATGTGAACCGATTAGAATGGCGCTCAGCTAAGCTACATGCAAAGAATTCCAGCGGAGTTAAATTTTGGGCTAACAGCAGCCCGGGAGTCTCCAAAATTCAAGGGCTCAAAATGGACAGTGGTGCCAGACGGCGCAAAAAAACTCACAAGGACTAACCGTTAAAGCTTATATGGATGACCCGATAGGTAATTTATGTTCTGTGTTGCAGGAAGGTTATTAATTTCCATATGAGAGATCCAGGTTTATCAAAAATGGTTTTTTGGATTTACTTGATGAATCTCGAACTCTTCAAATCCAAGCCCTATTATGAATCTTCCGGCTTGCCTTCTGGGAATCTCTCTTGGGACTTTCAGAAGCCATGAACAATCAATACGGAGACCGTCGACTCCGAACTCAAAAACGAAGTGTTTAACTTCGGTGGAGCCCATCTTACGCGAACATAAACATAAATAATAGCTAATCTTCATCCAGATTCTGAAAATGACGCGCTATCCTTTGCCACATCAAGTTCTTCTAAAAAATCTACCATGATTTATTTGACAGCAGGCGAAACGCTAAGACACAGTGAGAAGCGGCTTTTCATCGTGGTTTTCAGGTACCTCGTGAAGCATCCGGGTACTCAATATTTTCTTAAATTTCATTGATTTAATTTACCTGATAATAGTCGAATATTCGCTGTTCCTTTTTTCGAATTGTCTGCCATCTGAGGTGGTATATGCCAGCCTCGGATCGCCGTTCGAAGTGGAATGCAGTCTCCGAGCCTAAAATACGAGCTTTGAGCCGAGCAAACTGCTTTACAGGAGTCCAATCAGCTGTAGCTGTGCGCCCTGGGCTGATTCAGTCGCTTTCTCTGGCCGCGTAGAAAGCGCAAATAAAATAAAGTGCAAAAAATGCACCCTTTTTCACCTGCAATATTTACTTTGAAGCCAAAGTTCAAGATTCTATTCACCAGAGTGTAACAACAACAACTCGTATAGAAGCGAGCCTTTTCGAACGATATGAACCATACCCATAATCACAGCCCGTATTTGGCGACAGTGGCAAATTGTAATGTTGTCTAGTGCGCTTCTTCAAGCGTTTTGGATTGTTCATGGGGACCACGCATTCGAAGGGCCAAGGCAATGATGGTTTCGATTTTGTAGGCCGATTTCGTATTTGACTCTAGAATCTGTAGGTCCCGAAAAAATGCGGCTGCAAGAATGGGAGAGCAGTTTAAACTCTTCCGAAAGGCCTATACGCGTCTATCTGTGCCATGAACGAATGGAAAAATTAGTTCGTCCCCACTCGGCGCCCGTATAGTGTACTAGTCCATTGTCATATCTTTTTATTAGAACTAAAGCTATACATGAAAAAATGTTTACTGTTTCCCGGTCTTGCGTATGATGTTGTAATGAGTTATTACGCAGCGATGGCAGTCCCTTGCTAATTGCGATCTCATGTACTAAATTTGAAAACTTCTGGGCTATTGAAAATTTGACGTAATCTTGCTTATATTGTCCGCTATAAAGCTGTACCGTTTATGCTGTCTTTATCTGGTACACACAAATATGAAAGGACCCGTGCTGATTCTTAGTCAGAAGACAAAGAGGAGATTGTTCTAAAAATCGTCTTCTTTAAAGCTTATAAAATTTGGTTCTCCTAATTAGTAGTTATATCCAACTAAGCTCTTATCCTAATGGTTGACCCCGTAATTAATCCCATTGAATCAAATTAGTGATTATTAACATGCTATGCAAAAACTTGTCTGATGCGTACGTAGGTAATCCGCAAATCAGAGTGGTAAGAAGTTGAAGTTGCAGAGATGCATACGAGCTTTTCAGTGAATTAAGCCAGTGAGTTTTAAAGCTGAATAGTGAAATCACTGCGTGCGTGGTAAAATATTTAAAAATGAAAATTTGTGTCTTGAAAAATTTATCGCACTTGATAATCTGACTTAATAACGATTATAATAAGGTAATATAAACAAGAGTAATATCGTGGGGAAGGCTATCTGTAGGGTCTGTAGTATTATTAGCATCGCCAGATTATTTAAATGTAAGTAAACCTGAAAAAAATTATTGTAAATTTTACAGAAGTAAATTAATACTCTGCTGCCTGCTAATTTAAGTATCTTAAACGGTTTGTCCGGACACTAACGAATTAAACGATCATATAAACACGAGTGATACCGTTCAGTAATGCACCATTGGACAGTAAGAGTCAGAATGTAGTCAATTTAATCATGTAGGATATCTGAAATCTAGAACAAGCACCCACAAGCCAATAGAATCTGAAGCACTTGTCAAGGGAAAGAAATAAAGCAGGTTCTCACAAAAGCTGCTTGTCTACCCTTTAAAAGAAAAGAGGGCATACCTATTTCAGAATCGGTATAACGTATAATATATACAGATTCGGGCCGCGACGTTTTCAGCTTCCTGGAGTCCTGCGGTCCACAAAAGAACTGACAACGTGGATAAAAGGTCCAAGGTAATCGATGAATATTTTCGGTTATCTTTTTTCATAATTTAATTAGAACTCAGATAACCGGTGTGACTATTCTTGATATATTCATTTCCTTTATTGATATCCACTGCCAACAACCATATTCAGATCTGAATTAAACCGAATGTAAATGTCTGAACAATTGAAGGTTTTGCCGGAAAACATTTGTTATGGCTGATTTCACCAAATTCTGTCTTAGATGTTCGCTGCTTTTTGTATTACCAAACGGCTAAAATTCATACCAGCTAAGTTGAAGATACGTTCTCGAAGTGTTATCAATATGATACCGTCTAAACGACAGATGCGTGATCCGTTTTTATGACGGAAACGGTGTTGGACGGTGTTGGAAAACGGTTCCGGTCCATTGTGATATATATATATATATATATATATAATGTAAATGAAAAAATTTACAGAACGGTGTAGGTGTGAGCAGAAAAATAAACCTTTCGTTGAATAAATCTAGAATGTCTCCATTTCGTTCGACAACATGGTTCTGGTTCTTACGTACGTTAAGCGAAACTTCGGTTTACTATTAGATCTATCTACTACTAGATAATGTAATTATCTCTAATTTGACACCTTCTCTATTTCGCACAAGCTATGCATGTTTGACATGTAAGAGCTCGAATCAGCAATTTTTAGCCTTCGGGGGGTAAGGGCCAAAAATTAAGCCGTTGAACTCTTCGTATACGCCACATGCTACATCTGTTTTTTTTCTGACGTTGCAGATTTTATTTTCTTGAAAATATACATTTCAATGATCATACGCTTTTGCCTTATAATTTCTTCGAAAAAAAACACCCTATATTTTTTATGCTTTTTTTTCTATATCAGCAAGGCACGAAGTAAAGCATAAAGCAAATGTGAAGCGTCAACAGTCAAACGGTATACATAGATGTTTCTTTAGCTTGATGTGAACGTCCGTTGGCATTTGTGCTAACCCTTAGCTAATTAAACTGTCACCTGAGAAAAAGTTTTCTAAATCTTTCTAAATTCTACGTTTTCGTAGAGTCGACCACTGTCTAGATAAATAGGTTCACAATGTGGAGCCTTAGCTAGGCAGTTCCTAATAACTCGGAACGAGAGAAATAGCAAACATTTTAGTTATGTTTTAGCTATTTACTACTAAGTAATTATTAGCTACTAAGTAATTAATAATGTACAATTCAGTTGATGAAATGGTCGTACGCTAGAGAATAGAAGATTTTTTACAAAAAGATGGCGTTTTTAACTGTAAAAAGATAATAAAGACGCGATTATCATACGAGATAACAACAACGTTTTATTACGATCGAATTCTAGATGAGTACGGACTTTGAACAAAAGTGTTACACATTTTCAGAATGGTCATTTCTATAAATCCAGTAGGAATTAACCCACGGTTGGTTTAAAATATGGATCTAGCCTTATTATCCTTCTCCTTTTGTAAACTAACCTTTCAGAACTTTCATGCTCATACCATAGCGACGCGCTTTACACGTCCTATTTGTGTGTGTTTTTCTATATAAAAAGCATTTTTATTGGCAGAGCTACGCCCCTCAGATATCATCGCAGTAGGCTCCAATGCCTGTTCCAAATATTGCTCTCATATGGAGAGTATCAAGTGTAATGATATTTCTTTAGTCAAATGTAATTTTAGGGTACGTAAGTAGTAAGAGCTTCACTAATTTTAGCCTCGGCTGGGATTGAAACTGGAGGTCTCACATTCACGCTAACGTCACGTTGACCGAAAAATCATTGGTTATTTTCTATAATCGAGCTTATATTCATCCTCTACGTGTGTATGATAATATAAATGTATTACACAAATACAAAAAGTACCCTGTAATCGATGATAAAACTGGCCGTGAATAGTTTTCTTACTTTTAGAGTAAATACAACGGCGAGTCTAGCCAATATAGGCGTAAAATTCAAAAGTAGATTTCATGACGTCATATCAGATCACATTATAATAAACAAACTATAATATATCGTGCATGTATACGCTATACGTCGAAGATTCCTTGAGGTATCAAGCTTCGAGGCACAGCCAACCCTTACGTCGTCAATTGACACGGGATGACGGCAGACGATTATTTATTTTAGCTACGTTATAACGTGAGTGATGATTTTGTACGCACAACCAATATAAGAATTCTCCTAGCATCAGTGTAACTAAACGTACTAACAACAGATGAGATATTATTGTGTCGTTACATTACGATGCGCTTATATGACAGTGTCGTCACACAATAGTTTTTATAGCGTCATTCAGCACTCAGAGGCACTTTTGGTTATATAGTTCGATAACGTACTATTCGGTCTTATCTGCTGCTGTAGCATTTGGTGCGAGCACGTAACCCATATTCCTTTCGTATACGTAGTTCAATCTAATCGTAATGGCGTTTTACGCTTCCGATGACTCAACGAATACGTCAATACGAGCCGTTTTATTTTTCCATATCAGCACAATATTAGGGAATACTCACTTCAATGCGTATGGCATTATTTTCTTCCGACCTCAACTAGACACGGATCAGTCAGATAGCCACGTCAATGATAAAGCAGCTAACTAATCGGTAGAGAATGCTGATCCGTATACCTGAGGCGATAATTAGTTGAAAAGCAGGCATGCTCACGTCAAATTGTATTATCTGGGTAAAACATATCTTAAACGTGTATTATATTATCCAGTTGAAGGAAACACCGTTTTGATGTATTTATTAAGTCGCTATCCGAAAATAATGGATTGAGTTGATCATTTAGGCACTCAGTGTAACTATTTTCCTTCGTAAATTTTTACGAACAATCACTCCATCGTTGAAACCTCAATAATTTATAATTGAATTTCCTTTTTTAAATTTGTTAATGTTTGGTCTATTGTTAATTTGTATAAATATTATTATTATAACTTATATAAACTCATCTTTAAAATGTAACATGGCCACAATTAATAAATATTTTGTAATAATTTAAAATTAATTGGTTTGCACCGCATTAGTTTAGCGCACATTAATAGCAATATACTATCTGTAGTATATGACTTTTTAGGCTCGGTAAGCTTGAGCTAGAACGGATCCAATGAGTTTAGTCAATAGTAACTGTATTGTCATGTATATTATAGGTGTTATAAAACACAACGTTTACTTTTAACTAGTGTTCAGCAGCTTAGTTTCGAGCTTCATATAGAGCTTGATAGGTGAAAAATTAATTACTATATAATGTTAGCTATTATGGAACAATGTTAGTGTTATATACAATGGGTGTGCCAATTAGAGTCGCCGAAAAGATCGTTCTTCCGAGAGATCTTCGCGCTGTAGAACCGCTCACCAGTGTCACAGCGGGATTTTTTACGGAATGCGAAATTACGTCTGAACATTGATAACAAAGGCTTTGAAGCAGAATGTTCCGTTGAATCTCCGTTTGCTATTCGCTCTCTTACGGTCCTCATTCAGAACGTTTCGTCGTTAACGAGAAGAGCATCGAGATGCGTTTGGAGGATAACCGTTCGATATATGTCAACCATTTGATGTGGTAGTATGCGGCTTGATGTATCCAATTGTGACGATAGGAGGATTTCACGAAGCTCGGCTTTATGATTCGGGGCAACAACCTCTTCGACTGATGTCCATAAGGTCTCGTTTGAGACGCATGGCTCGAGTTCATCAATAAAGTTTTTGAGTAGTCGATAGCTGAGGCACTCGGTGAGCACGAGACGAAACGTTCGAAAATTTATGGCATGCCCATGAAACATGGGCCGTCCTCGAAGCATATCGCCCAAACTGAAATTACAGTCAGCTAAACAGCGATCAACAAGATCGACCAGTACTTCGCAGCGTAGGTAGCTGACACCAGGTGCACACAATGAGTGGAATATCTGTAATAGTAAAACATAAAAAACTGAGTTTTGAAGTCATTTGCCATTAGGACAAAGTTTTTTATTCGGAGGTTAATTTTTAACAGAGTTTAATACGGTTTGGAAAGGCCTGGCTTTGGCTACTAGATAGTTAAAGAGTATTTGATTTGAACTGCGAAGAGAGCCAGTATCAATTATTTTTTCATTTGCATTCAAATAAATCTCTATGTTCAGTAGATCATGATGTCATATACAAGAATTATTAGTATAATGACACCGACCAAATACGCTTCTCCAGTTGCCATGTTACTATTATAAGCAAAAAGTGTAGAAAATCATAAAGTGATCACAGAAACCTTGTGGAAGACGAATCCGTTGGATATCCTTAGAGGGTCAAGAGCTTTCAAAGAAACGACGTGTCGTTCAATGGAGTTTTCTGGATAGCTAAAGTAATCCTCGATAAAACGTAAGGGCTGGGCGGGTTGTGCTAGCATCAACTCCATCAGTAAACGATTAATGGCATCTTGTAGCTGCTGTCGGCGTCGATTCACAACCGTCGGCGACCTTTTCGGTGAATTGGGCACACTTCGTGAATGAAGCGCTTTCCCTGGAGAAGCCATCGTGTTCTCCTAGTTGTCCTAAACTGACTTCAAATTTACTCTTTTTAATTCACCTCAAATACACCCATTACACAAACGGAGTCTTCTTATAGTATAGATAATGAAACCTTACTTGTAGAATACACAGTGATATCGTGCTTTTTATTGGCACATAAAGCTAACTATGCCCGCTGAATGAGAGCCGGTTGAAATACGTTGATTTAGAATGAATTAAAGGGGGTGCATTCGCTTGTCGCATAGTTGTTTGTTGATACAGAGCTATTTAGAACACTGACTCAGGAACGCTGCTTCGGCTCTTAGGATTACATACAGGACGCTGATTATCAACAAAGACTTGCTGTTGCCCTAGAAACGGACGAAGCGAAAGGGTGGGTCACGCGTCTACTTTCTGGGGATATATCCTTGCCGTTCCAACTTTTAAGTAGTCTGAAATATGCATGTTTTGTCTTAGCAATGAATGCAGCTGAAAAAAATATACTATTTTACAATAGCTGAGTGGGCTACTACATTAAGTTAAATAACTGTTTTAACTCAAGTTTTTCTTGCTATTCGCGGCAACTATCTTCATGAATTCAACTGGGGCTGTTCGTTCTCGGAAAGCAAGAATATATTTTGGACTGTTTAAAGAACACTAACTAGCTGAACCTCTGTAAAATAAAATTATCTAATTAGGAGTTTTCGCCTTGTTATATATTAATTATTAAAAAAAGACGTAAAGGCACAACTGAGCTTTTTCGAAAGCGCAATGTCTACACATAAGGCTACGGCAACACCTTCTTTTGGATAAAATTCATCACACGTTTTTATGCTCATTAAAAATGAGTCGTTTTTTTTTATTAGAATTATTGAAATATTTATTCAGATACGATGTACATCTTACGACTTATTCAGTTGTGCCCTTTGCGACTTTTTACAAATATTCCTATGGTAAGTAAAAACTTTACATAAGATATTATTTATTCAAAGCAATGCGATCACTAATGAATAAAATATGGCCGCTTTGTAAATGGCATATATTTTTTTATTATGCCTTGATGCATAAAGGAGTTTTTCGATTACGCCTCCTAATTCATTGAGCTACCTTATCATTTATCTATTAATGGAAAACATACAGCGTTTTATAGGCATAATAGTATTACTCTTAACTTTTATTACTGGTAATACAGCCTTAATTTGATTTGTTTAGTTGTTGTCGTTTGTAGTTTTCATGGAAGAATCTTTTTAGACTTTAAATAGTTTTAAAAGCTGCTTATCCGAGTTTTTTGCTGTTTTTCTTATTTTATTTCTCTTTATCTCTCTAGTATATAATATGATAATGTATAATAATATGTTATTAATTCTATTAATTATTATTAATATTTAATGTTTCATGTTTGTTATAGAACTTTTTGTAATTTTTTTTGTAATGCACATAAAAAAGCGATAGTGTGAACTAAGCGTCTGGATGTGACGACTCCTTTACTGGCTGGGAGTTTTCCTGCGTTTATCTTTCCGTCTAAATTCATATAATCTTGAAAGTGTTTGGGAGTGGTATGACGATTCATATCTTATATGTTTCTGCTTACTTTTGCTGTTATAATAAGGTTACTTAACTAACAACGTTGGAGCTGTGTCGGCAGTTTAAATTCGATATCTCTGTCGTCACCTCATATCGGGCTTGCGGTTTCTTCACTTCTTCATAAACTTTTAAAACCTTCCATTATCCACGTCACTACTCATTACTTCCGAGTCTAATAGTTCACCTTTTTTTTTTCTCTTTTTCACAGGGGCAAAAGCAACTGATTTAGTTTTGAAACAGTGTGCGGGTAAAATCGACATAGTCATATGCCCCGCTAATTTCGCGGCCGGTCTTCGGCTCTACGTACGACTTCATCCGGGCAACACAATAGTCAGCCATTTCCTTGCTTAGATTAGCGTATAACTCATCTGCAGTGACGTATGCACGCTCGCCCGATGTAATAGCGCGGAAGGCGTTCTCGATTTCTTCCGATGAGCGTACATTCTCGGTCTCACGCGAAATCATGAACGCCATGTACTCTTGAAGCGACACATATCCATCCCGGTTCGGGTCGACCGCATTGAGAATGTTCTCGAACTCAGGGTCTGGTTGACCCTCTTCAACCATTGGAAGATCGTAGCCGAGGGCGCGCAGGCATGATTTGAATTCATGGTGATTCAATTTTCCTGACTTATCTTTATCGAAGTGCTTGAACATCATCGAGAACTCTGCAAAGACAGAAACAAAGCCAAGATCACCGTTTGTATACGAACAGTTAACGTAGAATTGTTCGAGTTGCAGTCTGCAAAAATGATGAAAGTAAAGCTACACTGTGAATCAGCGAGAGTATCTGGTTGTACACGTTTGAAAAAGTTCCATAATCCTCTTTTATTTCTACGTATTTGGAATATATTTTCTGAACATTTTGTAACAAAATACAAACCCTTGAGGGCGTCTTCGGATACTCCGCTCTGGTTCCTGGCCTGAATTTGCTGTTCGAGATTGTGCTGCATTCTCATACCGAGTTGGTCGAGTTGGTCCCACTGTTGAGCCAGGCCCACAGTCGAATGTTCAGTGTAACGATTATCCAGAATAAGGTGTTCTTCTAGTTTTGCTCCGAGGTCCTCGATCCTCTTGAGGTCAATACGTTTGGCTTTTACCTCTTGAGCTTTTCGTCGGGTTGCCTCAAGCTGAGCTTCAAGTGTGCCGTTACCTTCCATCATCGAGGATCCATCCAGCAGCCACATTCGTGTCTCCGTAAGCCATGCGTGGAAAGCATTAGCATTCAAGGCAAACTCTCGACGCAGTTTGTCGTTCTCCTGCTGACGGTGGGCCTCCTTCGTCAATTCGTTATCGCGTTCATGTATAATCTTCTGCAAATTTTTCCACGTCTCTTCGAGGGCCTCCATCGTAAACCACGTGTACGGGTTGGTGCCAACATTGAAATTTTTAATCCTGACGTCGAGCGCCGCCAGCGCGTCAAAATCCGCCTGGGCACTGCTAAGCGATGCCTGAAACTGTGAATGTGCTTCTCTTAGAGCGGCGATCTCCTCTAATGAGTTGCAACGTACTGGGTCGGTAAGATCTTCTTCAGCGTTTTCGAACCAAGAGTTAAACGCGGACGCTTTCTTAGCGAACGTGAGGAACAGCTCTTCAATCTGCTTGTACTGTTCAAGCATTTGAATAAGCTTGGCCTTGCGCGCCTCGGAGGCGCCGCGCAAGTTGTGCCATCTTGATAATACGTGATCGTGCCGTTTGATTATGTTATTTTTCTGCTCGTGGTTGGCGTTAACCAGTTGATCTTTTAAATCAGTGATGGAATGAATGCCTGAAATGTTAATTGATAGGTGCTTAATAAGTTTTCCACGAACCTTACGCGGTAAAGGTGCACACACTAAAGCAAACCTTGAGAAGTGGAGTGTATGTCTGCAGTTTTATTTGAGGCTAAATATATGAGGTACTGAGCTGTTAATATACATTTGGAGTAAAATGTACCAACAAATAACGAAGCAGTAATATTCAATATCCTTTGGATACGTACCCTCGTGTTCAAAGGCAGACAGTCCAGCATCGAAGGTCTCCTGTTTAGTGAGGAGCGTTTGTACAGACGACAGATCACGGCCAAAGTCTTCTCCCCGCACATGGATTTCTTTATCTCCAATCCAACTTTCGACCACATCGGCCTTCCACATAAACTGAAGGAAAGCTGAGTTGTCGATAAGCTTGTTTTTACGGTTGATAGCAGTAGCTTCAAGCTGATCAAGGCGATTAGCAAGTTGTTGCATACGCTGTGAGATAGCACCAGCATGATGATTGCCCTCTCCGATCAGTTGGTCACCTGCGGCGCGAATATCGGCACAACGTTCACGGTGAACACCAAGGTCACTTTCAAACGCCTCGTGCTTCTTCAGTAGACCCTGAACGGCGGCCATCGTGTCACCATAATCCTGGACATGTAACAGTTGTTGTTTTTCCTGTATCCAGGCCTCTTCCTCCTCGACTTTGGTGAGGAATTGTTGGTATGTCAATGACTGGTCCAGCTTATCACCTCTTTCTTCCGACAGCTGTTTGAGCTGTTGCCAGCTAAGCTGTAACTGCTGTAGCCGAGACTCAATTTCAGGCACCCCAAGGTTACTCTCCTGCATCAGTTTCTGTCCAGCTTCCTCGACCTGTTGGATAGCGGGCTCGTGTGATAAGAGCTCATTAACCAGACGTTTGTGTTTCTTCTTTAGGTTCTCCACGCCGGTCAGATCTCGACCGTAATCATCGGAACCGACCAACAGTTTTTTTTCCTTAATCCATGACTCCTCGTCAGCGATGTCGCGGAGGAACTGCTGGAGTGTATTTGCCTCATTAAGTCGAGACCGCCTGTACGTGGCAAGTGTTTTGACACGCTCATAGCGTTCGTTGATGTCACGCCGCTTTTCCTGAACGGCAGCCGGATCGAACTGGCCAGATTCTACGAGTGCATCTGCCAACTCGTTCATGTCTTTAACGCGATCTTCATGGGCCATCACATCAGCTTCAACCATTTGGTGTTTCTTCATCAGGTTCTGCACCGAAGCCAGATCCTTTCCAGAGTCTTCAGACTTCAGTAAACTCTCAACTTCGCCTAGCCAGAAGTCGATATCCTTGACGGCCGCATTGAATGTGCGTTGTTTGTTAGCCTCCTTAAGCTTGACGCTCTTCTCAGAACTTTTTTTAGTGAGAAACTCCCACTGTTCTGCAATACTTTCTAGGCGTTTGTGCACGGCTTCCTCAGATCCCTGACACTGCTTCTGATCAATTAGGTGCTGACCATTGCCCATTACGGCTTGAATACGATCAGCATTTGCTGCCAGCTCGGCCTCGAACGCTTGGTGTTTTTGGTGTTTTGACTGGATATTAGCGGGGTCACGGTAAGACTCGTCCGTAGCCATCGCTAGTTTTTCCGTGATCCAGTTTTCGATTTCGTCCGCATCGCGGGAGAACTGTTGCAGGGTTTGCGATTCGCCCAGCTTGGAACGTTTATCAATTAAGGCGTCTGTAAAAAAATCAACAATGCTTCTTATTAGTTGGCCAAGTTACTGTGTGCCACGTTATTTACATACTATACTGTTAATAATTTGACATGAAATTTTAGCCACTGGATCTCTTCTGCTAGGCGTCGTCAACGAATGAGGAATGAAATTTACCTTTAAGGTGCGCCCACCGATTGAGAACCTGTTTTTTCTTGGCATCAATGTCTTCAGCAGCATAGTGTTCAGCGGAGATGAGTTTGTCGGCTAGGTTGCACAAAGTGGCAATCTTTTCCTCCTGAGCACTGATTGCTTTGTCGAAATCTTCATGTTTTTTAATAAGTGCCTCAACATTGTCACCCCCCATGTCATCTGAGCGCAGGAAGGCCTCTCGAGATGCCATCCAGTTCTCGGCCTGTTCGCAGTCACGGTAAAAAAGTTGCAGATCAAGGCACTCCTCTACGCGTGTACGTCTTGCCTGCCACGCCTTCTCGAGTGCCTCCCGGGCTTCTGCCATCTTATCAAGCTTGTCCTGGATCTGGGGGCTCGCATAATGGGCGTTTCTCAGCAGCTGTTGTCCGAATTGTTCAAAAGCCTGGAACGTTCCCTGGCGAGCATCGATCTCCGTGCGGTGCTCCTGCAGATAGAATAGACATGTATAATGCATTTGTGGAACTTTCTTAAGTACAGATGCTTTCTTTTCATCTTCGGTGTTCTTTTGACAACTTGTAACCTATTAGGTTTTAGTTCACATTACTTGCTTGTTATTAGATCTAGTAGTACAACTGCCATAACCATATGTTAGTTAGTCATATGACCAAAATTCTTGCAGGTAAACTGGTTTTATTTATTCATGAGAAGACATTGTATATAGCGAGTAACAGGTCATAAAAGCTTATCTTACCAGGTGTCTTTCTAGCAATGCTTCGGCCCCTGTGACATCATTTGCGAGTTCATCAGACGATACCAGGGCGTGCATGGAGTTGATCCAGGACATTAGATCTCGGAAATCGGCCAAGAAGCGCTGCAGATCGTAGCTATCCATGAGCTTCTCCTTACGTAGTTGAGCTTTCGTTGTAAGCTGAGTCCATTGCTCAATAATCTCCTTTTGCTTACTGAACGTCGTTTGTGCAGAGTCAGGGTGACTTTTGGTGAGCCTCTTGCTGGTCTCGTCAAGGGAGCGAATGCGCTCTCCGAGAGCAGCGAGATCCCTCTCCAGGCCATCGTGCTTCCGCTGCAATGCCTGCACAGATCGCAAATCATGACCGAAGTCATCGGTATCGAGGCCCTCCTCCTTCTCCTGAATCCAGTCCTTCGTCTCGTCAGCATCTCTCTGGAACCTCTGCACTTCATGGGCAGAACCGAGTTGGCTGGCACGTTGATGAGTCACAACCTCTAGGTTTTTCCATTTATCATTCAGCTCATCGATCTGCGTCTGAATTTTGTTCGCTGCTTCGGTCTGACCAAGTGTCATCAGGCGCGAAGCAATATCATTCATCTCAGCCAAACGCACCTCGTTCGCTTTGAGATCGGCCATGAAGTCGTCGAACTTCTTCTGCAATACCTCCACTTGCTCAAGGTCCTCCCCAACCTCTTGAACCTGAGCCACTTGCTCTTTGTCTCGAATCCATTGAGCCAATTCAGCAGCTTCACGCACCAAGGAGAATGCCTTACAGCTCTCACGAAGCTTGTTGGCGCGCTCATGGCCACGAGACAATAGATTCGCGTACTGACTTTCAATTTGGGCCTGGCGGGCAGCAATTGATGTTTCTCCAGCAAGATGCTGTTTAGAAGCGCTTAGACCAGAATGATCCAGGCGCTTCACGTAGGCGGCGGGCACGAAGCCCTGGCGGTCGTTAACCTCAACCTTCCACCAATCCTTGTTGTTGGAATTAAGGAGTGTGAGAACATCTCCCTTCTTCATCGACACCTCACGGGGTGATTTTTCTGAAATGTGAGTATGAAAATGTCATATTAATTCCCTGGTTAACCGTTGTTAGCCAATTAAGCTGATTTTTTATTAGTCATAAATAGCAGACATGATAAGAAATGTTAAACTCACCGGTGTAATCGTAAAGCGCAACGACGAATTCCTTTCCGGCTTGATCGACCACAGGAGCCTCTTGTTGGCGGCAGGCCTTAGCTTGTTCGCGCAATGCGCTCACCGAGTTGGCAAACGCCTCAAGATCGGCCATAAGGGCTTCGTGTTTCTTTAGGAGAGCCTCCGCAGAGTCCTCATCCTTACCAAAATCAGTCGACAAAACAATTGGTTCTTTCTCACGGATCCAGCTTTCAGCTTCGTTGGCATCCGCGAAATATTGTTGTGCTTGAAGTGAGTCTTCGAGGTCCTGACGACGTCGTGTCGCACGATCCTTAAGAAGTTGCCATTTCTCTTGCAGATCGGCGAGTTTCGAACTGACCGCTGGCGACTGAGTCTTAGCGGCCATTTTCTCAGCTGCCTCGGTGACGGCACTGACGCGTGGTTCGTGATTGGCGATCTCCGAGAGAACGGCCTGGTGCTTTTTGATCAGGTTCTGGACACCTATGAGGTCTCGTCCACGGTTGGTTGAGGCCGCAATGGGCTCCTTCTCCCTAATCCAGCTCTCTTCGTCATCCATATCGCGTAGCAGCTGATGAATCGCCATTGATTCCTCCAGACGACGGCGGCGTTCGGCCAGGGGTTTCTGAAGACCTGAAAGAAGGAATCGCTAGTTTTGGTCTCTAGACAGATATATCAGCTGCATCTGAAAGCACAACTTGTTGTAATATTAAACTATTAAAAGCGAATCGAACAGACTTTGAAATTTAATGACTTTTGAATTAGTTGATCTAGAGTGATAATTTTTAATGTGTTAGCGGTAGGCTCCTTTATTTTTTACGAACCTACTCCAGCGCCCTGGCACCTTCTATACAGCCATATATCTACCATTCTCGTACTTAGTGTTTCCAGACAATTTTTCTATCTATGACCTATCGAAGCAAATCAATAATGGGATATGCTTGTCCACCAGTTGCCCCTTTCGTGCTTCTTCGGTGGCGATAGGGATTGAACCACGCCTATATTTTGATAGTTAAAGTTCTGCAAGTTGCTCGTGAACTATACCATACTCCTTCTTAACTTGTTTCGAGCCGATTTACAGACAACTCATTTTTACTCATTTCCTGGATTTTAAGTATATGAATTATAATTATGTAAGACGTTACGAATCTAATGAAAATTTTGAACGACAAAGCCCGTACGTTCAAAGCTTTTGCGAAAAGTTTGGCAATGCGTTCCAGCGCCTTAGATCCGCCATCTGGTCACCTTCGTGCTGGTCTTTACCACTCACATTACCGCTTTTTAATCTTTTGCACCACTCACCTACTGCAATTTTGTTTAACACTTCCTTGCCTGATGTTTTCATCAATCTTCAATCAATTTCTGCAGCGCGGTCGCTTTTGAGAAACAGAAACTTGACCACCGTACGTTGATTTTCGAAACTAAAGTTCTATCGAACTTATTTATCCCGGAGAAAACTCAAAAAAAAAGGAGTATTTTCCAGTCAGTATCCCAGCAATGCGTGATTCTGGATTTGTTTGTAACAGCCCAATATAAATATAGATTGTTTCTAATACATACTGGTATAACGATTCCGGAGAGCTTCCTGTTTTGCAATTATGTTAGGCGCATCAAAGTGTCCCCTCTCGACAAACTTGTTGGCGGCCCCGAGGGAATTCTCAACTCGGTCACCATGAGAAGCGACATCGGCTTCAATGAGTGCATGTTTCTTAAGCAGGTTCTGGACCGAAGTAAGATCTTTGCCATAATCCTCACTCATCAGCTGGCCTTCCACCTCGGAAAGCCAGACCTCGATGTCCTCAACACCACGGTTGAAGCTCTGCTGGTCTGAAGCTTCCGTCAATTTCGTACCCTGTAGATTGTAAAAAACTTCTGTTACACCAAGTCATTATGCGAGAACATGATGCGCTGTTTAAATCTTAGCACATGGTTTTATTCTGAAACGCATGTTCTGATCATTAATAGCGACCCAACGAACTGCCAGTCTCTCTTGTAATATTACATACCTTTCGCTCGGTAGCCTCAACAAGTGAACTCCATAGTTGCATTATCATCTCCATTCGCTGCTGAATGGTGTCGCTCGCAAAGTGCTTCTGCTCAACCAGCTGCTTGCCGGTGGATACAATTTCGTCAATGCGTGATTTATTTGCTGACAATTCCTGCTCAAAATTTTGATGTTTCTGCAATTTGCCTTGGAGGTTTGTGGGGTCGAGATAACTCTCATCAGTGGCATTCTTGAGTTTTTCGTTGATCCAGCCCTTAGTCTCGTCCACATCAGTCTCAAACTGTTGAAGCTTGTAGCTTTCGTCTAGTAACGCGTGCCTCTTGGCCGCTGCCTCAACAAGGGCCTGGCGCCGCTTGAGGAGAGCATTTCGACGCTGACCGACTTCAGCAGCAGCATAGTGGTTGCTTTGAATCAACTTAGTAGCGAATTCATCGAGCGCCTTGATTTTTTCCTCCTGGGCGTGCAGTGATTTCTCAAAGTCGTCGTGCTTCTTTAGCAGAGCTTCCACGCTGTCGAGCGAATCTCCCAGGTCAGTGTTGCCCAGGAAGGCTTCCTGTTTTGCCATCCACGTATCAGCCTGCTCGGTATCTCGATAAAAGAGCTGCAGATCCATGCATTGTTCGTAGAGGATTCGCCTCTCCTCCCACAAAGAGAGAAGCGCCATTTTCTCTTCGGCTAACTGAACTAGCTTTTCCTTGACGTTATCAGAGGCGTAGTGCTTTTGATCAATAAGCATCTGTCCCGCCTCAGCTGTCAGACGGAAAGAGTCTTCTCTTGCGTCGATTTCTCCCTTGTGTTCCTGGTGCCTTTCAAGAAGGCCTTCTGCGCCGGCCACATCTTTAGCCAGCTCGTCGGCAGACATAATGGCCTTCATATCATGCATCCAGGAAATGAGATCGCGGAAATCCGCTAAGAACCTGTGCAATCCGTAGCTCTCGTCGAGTTTCCGACGGCGCTCCTGAGCAGCTCTCTTGAGTTCCTCCCAATTCTGTACGATCTCACTGTGCTTACTCCGGATAGCGTCTGCAGCAGCTTCATCTGGCTGCTCGTTGGCCAGCTTGCCAGCCTCGTGACCCAGAGCAATCACTTTATCTTCGAGGGCGGCGAGATCCCTTTCCAAACCCTCATGACGCCTCTGCAACGTTTGAACGGACACAAGGTCACGGCCAAAGTCATCACTGGACAGCAATTGCGCTTTTTCAGCAATCCACGCGATAGTTTCGTCAGCATCACGGTTGAACCTTTGCATTTCGTGAGCACCAAACAGCCTTTCTTGCCTCTTTAGCGCGAGCTTTTTCAGCTTAGACCACGCTGCATTGAGCTCGGACTTCTTGCTGATGATCAACTCCTGCTCGGGGTGGGAATCGCCCACCAGCTTGTCAGCTTGTTCGTTAACCTGCTGTACTCGAATTTCCTGGCTGGCCATATCCTTCTGAAACTCGTCGAACTTACGTTGTAGCAGCTCGACGTGTTCGAGGTCATGACCGAAATCATCGGAAGTTGCGACAAAGCTCTCTTTATCGCTAATCCAGAACATTACTTCGTCCCAGTGACGCAGAAATTGGACGAGCACGAGAGCTTGCTGCAGCTTGAGCCCTTTATCGGCAAGCTTGCTAAGCAACAACTCCCACAGGCGATGAAGTTCATCGAGGCGCTGTTTGATAACCTCAGAGGCGAAATGTCCGTGCTTAATCATCTCCATGCCTGTGTTGTCCAATACAACAATAGCATTCGAGTGGGCCGCCACCTCGGCTTCGAATGCTTGATGCTTCTGGATTTTCGCCTAAAAAGTTAGATCCGACGAAAACAGAAGCTGTTAATTTTATGCAGTGCAACGATACAAACATAATCATTGAGACGGTTTGCCATTAAGGCCAGCAAAACAATGTCCCAGAAATCACCTTTCACCTTGATCCCGGGCACATCTGCCTCGGTTACCTGCCTCGCAAATTACTGACTATCAGAAAAAGCACAAAGATACTAATCGAGCTATTTGAATCATTTTCATGCGAAACAATAATAATGATAATATAACAAATCCTGAGGAAAGAAACAAACGAATGCATAAATCGTCACTGCACCTCGTCAACTAAAAAAAACGAAAACTCGTCACAGACACACAAAAACATACCCGTCAGGTAAAAAAAAAAAGCAAAGTTACGTTCTTCTTTTAGTAATATGTAAATACTTCTAGTGCTTTGTTTTTTGCTTTTGCGTAGCAATGTTTCACATAAGTTGTAGCCATTCAGTCCATTTTTGGGGGTGGAGTTCTCCTAAGACCATCCTCTATCGTTTATCTACTGTTTGGTCTCGTCCACCGACACACAGTCGTACCACGCCCTCACTAAGACGTCCCTGGTCGTTTGCATACAGACAGTCAATCAGCTGACACAACACTCCCACCAAATTGTAACATTGCACTTTGTTCAAAGACAAGAAAATATACTGTACATTAGCTAAGATGATATCTGTAGCGGTATATATCTCTCGTTATGGATATATCGATCTCAGTTGATAGGTAGGCTCATAGGGAAGTCTCATTCGAATTTCTAGTAACTACACTACAGACCCTCATTTTAAAATAATAGTAAATAGATTAAACTGAAAATGAAACACCAAAATTTGACAAGAAGCGATCTGTTACCTCCAGAACGACAGGCTCACCTGTAGGTTGGTTGGATCTTTATAACTTTCATCAGAAGCGGCCTGCAATTTCTCGTAGATCCAGCCCTCAAGTTCATCGGCATCTCGTTTGAAGTACTGGAATCTACGAGCCTCTTCAAGACGGTTTCTGCGCTCATGTGCCTGATTTTTGAAGTCAGCGTATCTGGAAAGCGTAGAACGAAATCACAGAATGCACATAATGTTACCTAAACGATAATGGCAAATTAGAAAGTGAACGAATTGAACTGTGTTTTCTGTTAAAAACAAAGTATATTGGTGTTGGTGATCCTGTTACACTATAACGTAAACACATATTCAAAGGTAAGAACGTTTGTGACTGTGCAAACAATGTTATCAAACTAGTTACTGAATATAGTTCTGTTTATGAAACTATAAACATACTATCTTTAAATAAACACACCTTCCGAGCACTTGGGAACGCCTTTCCTGAATGTCCTCGACAGTTTCTAAGACTTTGATGTCTTTAGGGGCCACCGGAGTGCCCTCCATGTTTTAGCCGCTCCTCTGGCCTCTGTAAATTATAATTAGAACAATTCATTTAATGGTTAAGTAAGGTTAATGATTACAATGTTTTTCCTATTGAAATTTAACCGCATATTGTGTATGTTGCAGAAAATCGATATAGAGGAACTTTCTAACATTGATCCAGTTGATTAGTTTTCTAAAGAAAACTAACGGAACTTGAATATTTTATACGTACGAAACTAATATGAACTAAAATATTTGATGGTAATGAGAAGCCACCACGGCCATTCACAACAAATTGCATCTAAATCCATTATGCAAATCTAATCCAACAATAATTTTGTGTTTTTTTAAGTTTTCAGCACTTAAAATGGCCATTTCTGAGAAAAAAATAGCGATCTAGAAAGTTTGCACTTGTGTCTTGGCGATCAATCTCGGTATCCTTGAGCCGATTTTGGCATCTTGTTAGATATGCGGTTCTAGTATTTCCCAATGCGTACATCTTCAGTCGTCTTTTTGGTTTCGATATCATTCATTTAATCGATGTTGTTCACGATAATTCTCTAGCAATTACCATACTTTAATAATCTACAATGTATAACTAAATCAAGGCATATTGTAATTATGAACGCTGCATGTCAAAGCCAGGTCGACTTTTCCATAAGCTCACAACGCAGTCAAGTCAATTCCTAAATGGATGAATTCAGAGTGAGTCTGTCCCTCCAGCCTCCTGAGGGCTTAACCAACGAGGTTATTATCTGGTCGAGATTGGGCTTCGAAGATAGGACGGCTATTTAACGGGCTGTTCCAACCGCATGACTTAGAATGTTGCTCCTCTCGTTCGAATTATGTTGCATTTCTTGTTAGACAGTAACGCCGCCATCTTGGTCTTTTTCTTCGTTTAAATATCAGCGCCTTGTATTCTCTGCCGGCTAACAGCAGATACATGTGTATCGATAGCAGCATGTACCTATGGAGCTCTCGCAGGAAGCCATTTTGAAATATAAAACAGCTCGATATTTGCTTTCCATATAAGCGTACTTAACAAACCACACCTTGGGATACATTCTAACGAAGAGGCTTTTGTACATAGTGCATAAACACTTATGTAGATATGGTATGATAGGATTTTGTAAATTATGTCTCTTTTAACACCTCTATCTGTATTTGGCATAGACGTATATATCCAAGGTCCTACGCGTGCGTATCATAATCAACGTTCTATCGCACTCCGACATCACTGACCCACATCTATTTAGGTGCGTCTACCGCATTATTCCTTTTTAGCGCAACGAACACCATCTTGTCTATCCCAACTACTGACATAACAATACCGAAATGATACTTCATCTAGTGCAACAAATTCACCTGCTTTTTCGAGCACGTGCCGCCCCAGCCTACGATAAGCGCAAGCCAAAACCAGTCTGCTTTTCGCGCGAACTTGGACCATCACATCGCAGTGGCTGTCACACCTGACAACCTGGAATCGCTACCACTACCCATACCGCGTCGCCAGCATGATCGACACTATCATTTGGACAATCCAACAACAGTCAGCGCTGTGTACAATTCTAGCTCACTCATTATTCGGGAATAACTAACTAATCGATTGTGATCCATGGCCCGCTAGTACCTTTCATATATAATATGTTTCAATATATATAGAAAATATGATATACATTCAAAATTTGTATTAAATATTTGCAATATTAAATAAATATTTGTAAATATCCCAGTTGACGATCCAACCATAAAATATCTAGCATTAAACAGTGTTATTAGCGTATGCTTTTAGCCGCCGTGTGGCTTCGGACGGCGGACAGCTGTACTATCTTCACGCGTCATGACTCATTGCAATACTCGCTATAAAGAGACGAGTGTACGAGAAAGGTCCAAAGGTAGAACATATAAGGACGGTATCATACGCTTCGATTTGATCTTGTCCTTTCCTTCAAGGTGACTATACGCATCTGAATGAGCGTCTCTGCGGGCGGGTCAATTAGCGACAGCTGTCGCTCACGACGCTGGCTATTGGTGTCGTTAGCATAGCGCAGCTTGCGTTACAAAACGATGCTGCTATTTCTGGTCGCGACGCTAGGAAAAGAATAGGGGAAGGAAGCAACAAAGCAAATGGCCTCTATTTCCAGTAATGCCTAACTATGAGTTGGAAGCAGCACTGGGCGAAGCAAAATCCAGTTCGACGCAATGACACTAGAAGCTAAACAACGTGGAGCGCTGCCAGAACCGCATTTGCCTGAGCGGATTGGAGGCGGGCGTCAAGCGCATGAAATGAACAGCATCATGGTTGCCCTGTTAACTGGTTCCGTTTCAAAACAAAAGAAAGCAAGCTAATGTACTGATCATGTCACATGGCAGGTCTCTAGTACTAAACGAAATTCTTTGGTAATTCATCTGTACCAGTACAAACAGCGATATGCACGCGCGTAAAAAGATACGACACGAGTAAGACTTCAATATATAATTACAATCTTAATTTATGGATGTTTTTTGCTTAGGCTTTAAAAGGTAGATCGTAATAGCGTACAGTTCGTGATAGGCCTGCAACATCGTGTAAAATATAGTAACATCGCTGAGAAATCTAGCTATGTAGCATTTATCGTTTTTTTAGAGAATTTTTACTGTTTAATCTGTTCGTTTCCGTTGATTATTTAAATCAGATAAGATACTTTAACTTCATACGCAACCATTGTAGATGATAGGTAAAAACAATTCAAATGATAATTATAAAAGCGCTGTTGAGAATTCACCAATGTTCCCAAACGGTTCAATGAAACGGTACGGATATGCAACACGATTGTAATATAGAAGTTCAGCGACTTAAGTTCAGCTAATCTAACTTGAAATTTATTCTACGCACATCTACCAGCATTTGTGCCCATGTTATTTATAATAGGAACATTACTAATAAAAGCTGGCGTATTTAGGGTTCGGTTAAACTGAGAACATCGACTTCACAAGGTTCATTGTAGTATTTAGTTAAACAATGGGCTTTGTTAGGTATACGCAATGAAGGACAGGAATAGCGTCATAAAACTGCCCACTATGGACCGTCATAAAACAGTGAGCACGCGACTGGCAGGGCATAGTACTACCGGTTCGTAAAGAACAGCATGTATTCTTGTTTGTGGTATTTAACGAGATTAGTCTACTCCGGAAACTGCACCGCTCGCGCACCATAATTTTCTGCGGCAATAAACCGCTATTTTTATTATGATTTGTACTGGAGCGATGCTCGGGCAGAGTGACCCATCATTAATTATTTGGCCCATAAATACACGTCTTACTTCAATGTCGGTTTACTAAAACTGGATGTCCGTGACAGTATAGTGGGTAAGATTTTCGGCTGCTAATCTGATGGACACGTAGTTGGACTAGGTTCGATTCCGTTCATAGCGACGCTTCGTTTCGTGCTGGTATCGGGCCTTCTGATGAATCGCTTAACGCCGGTGCCGAATGTAGAACCCGAATCGTTTAGAGTAAAGTCGGATCAGAGTCATCGTGGACCCATAACCAACTATTGAAAGGTACAATGACAACAAGGAAAAGAAATATGATGCTTCCAGGTGATCTAATTGAGTCCAAATTTAGAAGCCAATGAGGGTGACACCGACATCGCTGTTACACAAATCCTCGATAATCAAAATCAAAAGTAATGCAAATTAGGAGGCACACTACCATGAAAAGAGAGAACTAATTATCTTAAGGTGCCCAAAGTGTGATCACGTTCCAGTTAAAGCCGTAGAGGATTCGTTGTCACATGTTGAAAGATTTATTGCGCTTCTCGATCGGCACGGTTATTTTGCGGATAAACTATAAACGCAATATGCGGTAAAAGCCTATCGCCTAATCTGCTTTATTAACCTTTTTTACTTTCGAGCTATCAGAACGTAACGACCGTGGGCGGGTATTTAACGCTAAACTGTATTACAATATAGACGTAGCTCTTTTTAATATCTGCCACCGTTTACGCCTAGAAGTATTTTGCACGAAAATCGCGAACAAAGAGAAATAAAACCAAAGCGGAACTCTTCATCGTCTGGCCAAAAGACGCAACCGATGCTGACAATCATTTCTACAATCGGCATTAAGCAACGACTAGAACTGTTTTCACAAAGACCACTGAAAGGATAAGAGGTTCCGAAAGCCCCCCCCTTCCGGCCTTCCAAGCTATCGTTCTGTCGTTGTCGCGTATTGTTATAGCAAGTCAATGCTAAGATAAAACGGCAGAGCCAACACTATGAAGAAAGTAGAATAGTCATATGCCCAATAAGCTCCGGCGTAAAATCAACGTTAAATATAATAAAACAAACATTTTCTACACGGTATAGCTTTTAGTTTGTATTGCACAGTTTCACGCCAAGTATTATACTAACTTGAAATTTGTACTTCTCTAGAAGCTTAAGTTTTCTAGAAGCCGACAAGACAGATGCTTCCAGTAAATTCATGCGTTTTTTTTAAAGTTTTTTTGATATCGTTGTTTCCTAAAAAAGTAATAGAACGACCCTTCATACAACTTTTGGGTGCTGCAGACTATAGGCAGTATGAGAGCGAGCCTATAGTCTGCAGCTATAGGCTAAAGCCTATACCTAAAGCCAGCTAATATTTAATTATGTCGAGAATTAACTACACTGTACTGTAAAGTAAATATTTCAATGCGTGGAACAAATTATGGACCAGAAGGGTTAAGAGTATAGTAGCGCATACAACCTATAACATAACACATGAAACTCTTCGCTGCTAAACAATGTTGACCGCAAAGATTTACGATACTGAGCTTCCATATGTTTTTAACTGCGAGCGGTGGCCTCGACATATTTGTCACAAGGTTATTCAATAGACGAATTACAACAGTCGTACTCGTTATTGAAACGAAGTTAAAAAGCCACACAGCGTATTCAGATCGAATTTAATCAATTTTAATTTAAAATATATTAATAGTGATTGGTAATAGATCTTTTGTGTTATAATGCTATTGGTAAACTTCCGTTATTAGCACGTATGTTACTTGCCCATAAGGTCAAAAAGAACTTTCTCATTTCGATTCATCATTATAATTACATATGAATCACTTATACCTCTTAACTAATATTACATAAACCATGATGTTAGCCTAACCAAAACATCTGCGGTATAAAACTGAGACACGCTTCGTGGCACCAAAATGTGAAACGAAGAAATCCGGTAATAACTCAGTAATATAAATACGTTACGGTGGCCGACTAGTGTTTGATTCCCATTCATTGGAAGCATTTTATTTTAACAGATCAAACACATTTGTAACCCACGTTCGGAACCAATACTACAACATTCCATAATACCAATCGATTTTTAGTTTATCACAAATATACGCAAATAAGAGCTTGTTTTATACGAAAATACTTTATTTTTCGCCACTTGCACTGCGCCATACTGTAGTACACAATTAAGGCCGTTTAAACGGAAAGAGGAGGTCAGGCACCAGGGGTAATGTGGTCACACTCGCCACATTAAAGATGACGTAATTCAGACGTTCGCACCGTTTGCTTGGTTTAGCCTTTTGTAATAACACAGAGTTAGGCGGGTCTCCTGGTAAAACTACTCTGCAACGGGCATTTTGTAGGGTGAACGTCATTTTAACGATCTATAGGAAATAATGTGACACAATATCGCGATGGCTGCTAGAAGTAAGCGAATGACTGCATGTATATTCGTGCCTAGATTGCAATATAAAATTATCCAAAAGCGCTTCTATCGAAACAAACGTGCAGATTGAATGATTAGTAACATAGTGGAGAACATAGTATAGTTCCTTTCTCTTCATTCGTCCTTCTCAATAGAGTAAAACCATTATCTGTCAATTATTAATTAATCTCAGCACTCATTAACGTCCAGATTAAAATGTATGTGCTTGTTTTTGAAAAATATCTAGGAGAACGTAGCAATTAATAACGTTCAACGGCTATAAGCTGAATGCGCCAACAACGAGTCTTCAAGTTATCAAGAACTAATCAAATAGTGGCTTTCTTAATATATTATCTTCTATATAGATGGATGTAATGCTCACGTTGAGCTCGTCAAGAAACAGCCCGGTGGAGTGGCGTAGCATGCGACGATCCACTAAAGAAATAATAAAAACAGCCGTTCGCCACGCAGTGTTAATGCTGGTCATGATTCTGTCGGAAGTATGCTAGATCATCACAGGGATCCTCACGCCTTTCCGTTTATCTCTGTGTAGGCGTGGTTACGTTCACACCGACACAAAGCAGCGACGAACAATTCCACAAAATCCTACGACAGGAGTTGCTGAGGGACATCTTCAACATGCAAATGACCCGACAAACCGCAACTACCCTATGATAACATGTAGTCCCTTTTGTGTATGGCACCGAAAACTAAGGGATGAAAACACAAAACAGTGTATACTGTTTCGTGTTTTCTCATACAGTACGCGTCCGATAAGAAAAACGTGGCCTAACTACTATGTTACAGCACAAAAATACTGGACTACGCTTCGCAAGGCTATAACAAAACGAAATTTTTGATCCAACGCACAACAGATGACGCTTTGTTGAGTCGGTAAATGTTAAGTCAATCCAAACGACAAGAATTTGGTAGGGGTGGACGACTCTTACTAGCTTGCGAGCTTGTGATAAATCCGTGTATCGGTAATGAAGTAACGCACAGCTGCAATTGTCGTTGCGAGTGTCTCACTCCGACATCTACAAAGAATTATCTTACTACCGAGCAAAAGCAAGGCAAATAAATGTTACCAACATCAGACAGTTCCGATAGTAGGCAATTAGAAATCGGCCATTCCAGCCGCGAATGTGCCAGAAACTTCCAAGGCACAAGCGCCGAGATGAGCAAAGTCAAATTACCAAACGGCAAAATTAAAGCTGCCGCGGCCGCTCGCAGTGACTACATCGGTCCGTGCTAATAGTACGTATCAACGCCACTGGTAATAGCGAAACCTATATTGAAATCGCGCCTCTGACTGCCCGACTAAGAAACCGACGTATGTGGAACCTAGCCACACCTTATGAACGCAGATTACACGCATCTTATTATAGCTGGTTGTCGTTTTAGTCTAAAACTTTTACTGTCATCTGTCTGGTCAAACAATACCAGTAGCAAAACAATACTATACACATGTACATACACACCAAGTAGAAAATACATAAATCAATGTGATGACTAATATTTGCTAACGTGAGATCGTACTAAACAAAACGGGAATAAACTATCCACTGGCGAGCACTGATTTTGTGACAATCATACGTTGCCTCACTCTCTGACGACAAATGCATTCTGACTACACAGATGACAGCCAGATACGTGTAAGGGAGTTGCCATCCCGTTCGCTTTTTACTCCTTCCAGCTTTTCATGCCTCCCGTATGTGCTACAACTTAAAATGACCGACGACCAACACATTCAGTATGTATAATGGACAGCAAACCTAAAGCAACGACGCTATGTAGTGCTCTCTAAATATTTTTGCGGGTGAACAGGAGCATCAATTGGGAGGCCAACGCCCATAAACGTCTGGAACGTTAGTTATCCTGCTGCTGCAATTCTCACGATTGATGAAAGAAATTATTGTAGGCCTTAAATGGACGTTCGGCTCATCAAGAGTATCACCTACACTTAGCCTATGTATATAGGTACAGTATACAGATAGGCACTCACTACCAGTAGCCTTAGGTTCAGTAGAATTGCGCTGATACCGCAGTGACCTCCGCTAGAGCTCTGGGCGGGGCTGATTGCCCTATGGTAAATTGGGAGACACGTCCTGAAATTCGATAATAACGACGAGAGTGGTTTATATTTAATATGTGGACATTACAAACCTCGTACTCGATGATAGTTGGGATCGAAATAACAATGTCGCTATAGTCATACAGATACAAACAACACCAGTGGCACCTGGCTTGACCAACTTGTCGTTGCACTCACTACGAGGCACTGGTTTCTCACCGTACTTCACAACATAGATCGAAGCTCTTTCGCTTATCCAGGAGCTACCAGATGGCGCTGTCCGCGCTGGTTGGACTCTACCATAGAGAAATAAACGATGCTTCTTGTTCGATTTTGCCTAATTCGTATGCCAAAACATTACAATGAAACGTTTGAGCAGGTTCTTGACAAATCAGACAAGTACGGCTCAATTTTAATTTAAATTTTTGCATTTTAAACAAAATTGCACGCATCCATTCCGGCGCGTCGAACTGTTAGTCGTACTCTAAGCAGATCTAAGAAACTCTATGCAGCAATAACGAGATCAAAGTTTCTGTAAATGAGCCGGGCAATATTTGATAACATAACAGATTCATTAACGAGTAACAATAGGTTAAAAAAGTTTGCTGCCAGAAGGGGTCGAGGGGGCCAAGGGTTGAGATCTACCCGGTAAGCAACGCGCGTGTCCAATATGCTGTCCGGTCTCATCGGCGAAAACGATAATAAGCGGATTGTTCTGGATAGGATTGTGAAAAGATAGTGCGTACTTCACCAATTCCATTTTCATTATCCACGAGAGTTCCGTCGTGATAAAAGGTCCGTTAGTCTAATCATTTGTTGTGACCGTATTATTGAGTGAACTACCCTAAACACAAATAGTCACAATGGATATGCGACCGAATAACACGATCTATATTAATAATTTGAATGAAAAAGTAAAAAAAGATGAATTAAAGAAATCTCTCTACGCGATCTTCTCTCAGTTTGGGCCAATACTTGATATTATTGCATTAAAAACTCTCAAGATGCGTGGACAGGCTTTCGTTGCGTTTAAAGAAATAAATGCGGCAAGCGAGGCACTTCGATCAATGCAGGCAAGTAACATATCACTTGTAACGTAACACGTATACGAATTTAAACAGCGTAAGGTTTATTCTATCGGATACTGTTATCAATAAAATAATGTTTTTAGGAACTTTGACTAACAAATGCTCAGATTGGTATAATATTCAAGGTTTAGTAAACTGGTTAGCAAATTGCCAGTTCAGGAGACTTTTTAGGAGTTTCCTCTTTCAACAAATGAGAAATAAAAGCAAGATCAAATTTTTGATTCAACAACTGGCCCGTTTCCTGTTCTTAATATTATTAAGTAAAGAACTTAATCATGAATTACATGAACATTACTTCATGCACTTTTCAAGGCTAGCTTTATCACCGTTCGAATAAGCTATGTTCAATAGTGACACTATGCTGAAAATTTCTTCGCAAAATCAAAAAGAATATCCTCAGTTCTGCGGCAACCTAACATATTAATAGAGTGATTTTTGAGAAGTTGAATATTTGTTTTTAATTTCCGTAGGGATTTCCGTTCTTCGACAAACCGATGCGTATCCAATATGCTAAGACTGATTCCGATGTGGTCGCAAAAATGAAGGGAACTTTCGTGGAACGTCAAAAGAAACCCGTTGAAAAAGTAGTGAGTAATAGATACGTCCCCACACACACACACACATATATATATATATATATATATATATATATATGAAAACTCCAATTTGTTTTAATTAAGGTTTTCATTTGACTTTTTATGACAGCCGTATTCATACGCTTGGAAAAGCAACACCAATGTAACCGACTGAAGATGAACCGGACTCCTAAGTCGTATCAACTTTGTACGGTCTAGAATTGCAAAAAAAAGCTAAGAACGATATTTTTAGAAGCACTAAGGCACTCACTTCGACAACGATTGTAATCTAAATTCCTAAAACCAGAGCAAGAAGAACGAGGTTGACTTGAAATAATCGATTTTACACGATAAGGCAGTCGCAGGGAGCATTTCAGTCCCATTTAAATTATCTTATGCATTACCCCCTTCTCTAATAGGCCTTTCGTCAGCTACATCTCTTCTTATTATAGATTTTCAAAAATTGTTCCTATGCGATTATTATGTGACCATTACAGTCGAAGTCCGTGAAGAAGGGTGGTCTTGCCGCAAAGACCACGAGTGCAGCTGTGCCGGAGGTTACTCAGACTTCTGCAGGCGTCGGGTCATTAGGACCCGTTCCCGATCAGCCACCGAATTCGATCCTCTTCCTGACAGGACTACCGGAAGAAACAAACGACGTGATGCTGCATGTGCTATTTGGCCAATTTCCTGGTTTCAAAGAAGTTCGGTTGGTCCCAGGGCGGCCGGATATTGCCTTTGTTGAGTACGAGGATGAGATACAGTCATCAGCAGCAAAGAACGCTTTACAAGGCTTTAAAGTGACGCCAACGGCCGCCATACGAATTACGTTCGCGAAGAAGTAGAGCCGCGTTTTTCGAATATTATCCCGTTGATGGCACCAATCGATCATCACTGTTCGTTCTCTAAACACAAAGCTTGTTTTTTGTGCTCAGTGTGAATTCTTGCTAGTGGTTACAACGATCTGCTTGAGTGGTACTGGCGAACCGTGGGCCAATTATATTTTATTTAGAATTAGTTGAATTCCAGTACGCAAACGTATCACACTTACGAGAATTGTCGTCCGCCATCGCAAAGAGAAACCTCTGGTACATTATTTGATGAACTTTTTCGAGTATAGTCAATAGAACAGGAATGGTCTCGACTAAATTTGCTTCGTGCTGTTTTTGTACAGTGCAAATGACGAGTTCAATTTCATAACAACGTTTACCTACGAGTTTAGGGCGCTTACGATTTCGTAGTGAGCATGTAATTTGCGATGATATGTATGCCACTGTAGCGTTGCGCAAAAAATCCGAATGCTTAATTTAGGGATGAAGTAAGTTTGAGTGAGATTCGCCAAAACCTGGGTCAGTGTACATTATCATCGAGTTAAAGCGGAAGTAATGAAAATGTTTGATGGAAAAAGTAAGTTCATGTAAAATAAACCTTATTCATACATTTAAATAAAATAAATTGGTTACAATTCTTGCTGTAGAGGTAGTCTGACAACCTGGTAGTCGATCGCGACAGAAAATTAAATAATAAAAGTGCTATACTTAATGTGGCCTTGATAGAAATAGGCGCCGGCAATACAAAGAAAATGGTATTTTATTGTTATTAGCGGCTGTAATCTCATCCGATGTGCAAATCTTACATTAGTTCTACGCGTTATCTTAATACTAATAGTTTATGGGAGTACATTCGGGTCACTTTAAATTTTTAGATAATTATTAGAGAGTTGCTCTTTCAAACCGATCACCGTCTAACAAAGGCGGTCATATGATTCGCCTAAATCTAACAGCGTTAAGAAAGAGCCATACAAAGTATTCGGTTTGAAACTAGCTACTGCTTAAACGTTTGTTAATCACAGTACACCGTTAATCAATCAAATATGTTTTTCTGCTCTAAAAGTAAACGGATCAGAAGATGCATCAAGAAAGGAATTTTCATAAATTTGCTTCAAAATATTTTCCTGTTCTTTATTTGTCAGTCCATACTGTGTTGTTCTTGCTTATTTGCCATAGCTCTATGATTTATCTTATCAATAAATGACTATGGCAAAAAAGGAGCATAAGGAGCATGATCGATTAAAAGTCCGATCCAACGCATCGGCGACGCTGCCAATAGGCATTTGCCGTCGATTAAAGATCTAATAGGGATGGGATAAGCAATGTGAAGCTAGAAGGTACGAAAGAATCTTTTTAAGCTCTACAATAGCAGCACTCAACATTTACAAATTGAAAACAATTGGATAAAATATGAGTATATAACTTGGTGTAAAATGTAACCGCAATGCGTATTGACAGAACTATTTGAATAGGGCCATCATATGAACAGCAAACATTGCGTTGCACATGTCTCTTAGATAGTTCACTTTAGCTAGAGTAAAAATAATTATGATCGGAGTAAAAAAAATTCAAATAATTTAGCGATATGTGTGGCTACAGCGAGTGCGTCGCGTAATATATTGAGCCGTACTGCAAACTATAGAAGCTTATTTGACGAAGCTAAATGCGGCAAATATCTGACGTATTTCTGAGATTAAGAACATTACTCAAAACCGCACAACACACGAATAACGATTTATTGGATTACTGAAAGACTTTTATGAAGTCAACAAAGTTAACTTTTCATATACAGTTTGTAATTGTTAATCGTATACTATACTCTTTTGCATAGCTTATTTAGTTTAGGTTGACGTTGGTTGGGCTATCCATAAAACTTCGCATATGGAAAATAAATTAATTGTTTACAATAGTGCAACTTGGATATGGAATGTCTAAGTTTGCAGACATAAGTATGTTATATAATTTTAGATGCCTAAAGTATCGTGTTGGAGCTAGCCAGCAATTAAAATATCCGATAAAAGCGTTGCCTAATATATTCTAACAAGTAAACCTTGTCAGCTGAAGTGCTACAATTTACTTAATTGTTTAATTTTTAAAAGTAGTTCATATCCATAGTACTATCAGTGTCACGGGCTTCGTCTAGTTATTGTCTAGCAAATAAAGTAACATTGAACTACATTTTTTGTTTTTATCGAACTTTTTTAAAAAAGGGATCACTAAACCGTAGAAACATGATAGAAAGTTGGATATTATCACACAACTTCCATATCAAAACCGAAATCACCAAATTTTCTTTCAAAAAAAATATGTTTGTAGTTACTTTATTGCAACAGGTACTTTGAACGAGCACTTTGACACCGCTTCCATGCCCAACCGTCAGTCCAGGCCTTGATCGTCCTAGAAAGGCGAAAATGTATTTGTCAGGTCACAAGTAACCATTCTTAATTTTGTGATATTGTTGTCAATCGTAAATTCGAATGAAGAGACCTAAGAATTATATTTACAACAAACCGATATTATTTTTAACAATACATCCTTTATACTGAACATTCTTTTTTGTTTGCTTCTAGACTAATTGTAATCTGATTAAATTTTACATCTATGTCTTGTAAAATACGCAATCGTATACTACACGTAAAAAGGCGGACCAGTCGAAGGTTGGTGAAATTTACTCGTAAGAGGAGAACGTACTCAGATCAATAACTAAATTTTTTTTCAAAAATTCATATGAAAGTAAATGATGCATATCGCTGTGAAATGAAAGAAAGAAGACAGATATAGGAAACTTGAATGGCGATTTATCTGTCTTTATTAGTGATTGTGTCTTGGGAGGATATGCTCAATACTTTGCATTACCTTGTTGTAATGTTATATTAGCATGTAAAACGATAATGCTCCAAAAGCTCGATCTCGCAATGCGTCGGGCTGGCTTATCTAGAGAGAGACGGTTTCCTTTCCCTCACACAGGCACAGCTCTAACTCGGCGGTCGACTAAAACACTCGCGAGTTCCACCATTCATCAAATCATGAGTCTACCGTCTAAAGAGAGACATTTTTAGAAACTGTGTAGTTATTTTATGCGTGCATAGATAAATCTATGACTGAATGGCTAAGCTCGAACTAAAACACGAGCGCTGGAATCAGATACCTGCCGAGATGGCTACGTTATTCCGTAAAAAACGGTTTATCACGACGGCAAGCAGCGTATCGCCAATGTCAGTCACAAACGATTATTTAACGACAATCGCTGAAGAGGTTTCAGAAGAAATAATAAACGATGGAACGACCAACAACTACCGAGATGAATCAGAAGCATATGACAGCTGCGCGCTGTTATACCGCAAGGATGATCCAGTTAGCTCTTTTAGCAAGGGCAGTAGCGCGCAGGACCGCCTTTGTCCACCACTGAACCAGTGCGACAACGGTTCTTTGACGAATTCACGATATTTACACTTTCTCTGGCGGTGTGAAAGAATCGAGCAATGGATTGCAGAGAAGGAGGTGTACATAAGCGAAGAAAATTTGGGTCGAACCCTTCCGTCGGTGTTGGTGTTTCTTAACAAGCAGATTGCCTTTAATAATAGACTGTCTGCTTTTGCTGTAGAAGGTATGTAGGCTTGAGGTTGCCGACCTAATTTGAAATGTGGCCTTAGTACACCCTTTCGCGTTAAGTTAATCAAGTGTTCTTACTCTAGAGCCCGTTTATAATGTATTATCTTGCACAGCCGAATGTATTAGATTGCGTATGTAACCTATGTAATTTTCATTCATCTAAAACGTAGCTTTTTATGTAACTTATAATTCCTATTATTAAATGTGCTTTCACAAGATTATTCCTCGAGAAAAAGACGATAGTAATTCATTAATGGTCTGAAACATATGGTCGGCTAAAAAAAAAGATCAGGCTCAAACTCTTGCGTGGTAGCTTCAGCGAGCCTTGCGATGTATGTTTGGCGCTATTATAGAAACGAACGATTAAGCAATTCTACTAATTTGTTCAACATTTGTTTCAGGAGTTTATCCATTGTTTGACTTGAAGGATCAGCTTCTTAAAGGTGATCATAGTTTAAGAAGCAGAATTATAGAGAGACATGCTCAGATGCTTGCGAGATGGCGCACCCTTCGTGAGACTTCAGAGGCGCGCGAAATCCGGCTCATGGAAATGTACGCAAGATGCAAAAAGGTCGATGAGTTATTGGCTAAATTTGCCAGAAAAGCGGTCGCACTGCATTTGTGGTGTCATAAAGCTGAAAAAAACCTAATTAGCCCTGTACGATGCAAATCGATAGAAGAGCTGTTTATACTACGAAAGACGTTTTCGCAGTTTTCAGCAACACTGTGCAATATTCGCGTAGAATTCGACGAACTGGACATGCTTGACGCTAAGTTGAGAAGCCTTGAAAACGTCCCTAGTAATCCGTATACACATCTCACAGTAGTGTCTTTGCAGGATATTTGGAAAAACCTCGTCAACAAAGTCAACAGGCGTGAAGAGGAAATAAATAAAGAAACTATAAGACATGAAGAAATCGCAAAAGTGCGAGCCACCTTCGAATTTCACAGATTTTCATGGCTAATTTGCATTCCGATGTTTGCACTACTTCGTTTCCGGTAACTAAACAAACAATTCGTTCATGCAGGGTAATGGACCAGTACCCATGATGCTTCCTCAGGAATCGGATATTATGTAAATACCTTTTAAACAAAAATCCTGAATCTATATGTGTGTCAATTGCTGCTTTATCTTGTCATCCATATCCTCATTTACAGAATATATCTTCAAATATATTCTATATATACGTACATATTTCATATATTTGACGAGCCACTAGCCCTAAAGAAATGTATTACTGTTGGGCAGTTTCGATGATCGCATCGGCTAACAGGTGGACCCGGCGGGCAGCCCTGTCTTACTATAATCATTATCAACAGCCTTTGTAATGGTAGAAATGATAGACTCTAATTATAATTATATATTTCCTCACTTATAAGATTTTTAATATTTTAGGTTGTCGCATTCACACCGACTTTCTTCCATTAAAAAGATATGTCACAGGGTATTTTTGCTCTTTACTGTAGTATTATATATGCACGTGTGTTCAAAGAAACATTCTGTTCGATCAATCTGAGTAGTGTTGTGAGTGCTTCCTAGAAGTACGAACCTAGCATCACTATGACCCAATGATAATTTTTGTCGTAACCTGACTTATTTTTGCAAGTAATCAATATAGCTAAGAGTTAGTGTGGTTGGTGCTTCCAATTTGGGGCACAGAACACGTGGGTAGATAAAGCTTTGTTTCGATTAATATTTTTTGCTTATAAGATGCCCGCTTGTTTTCGTTTATTCTACTAGATTCGATAAAAAACGTTATCGCTTCCGGCTAAGGGTTCGACCGATTTTTCAAAAGCCGATGATAAATTACGTGGAGTGCTGCGGGTCCCTGTATCTGTTGATTCTAGAACTGCATTCCTATCTGTCCACCGAGGTATAACAAAAATAACATTTCTATAAATGTTTTCGTCTAGTTACCTTTGCCTATGTATTCGCCCGATGCTATATATGCTAGAGTCTCATATTATCTTATTGCTAATAACAACTGACGTACGCATTTTTTGCTTCACTTTTAAATCTTTGTACAAACACCAGAGTCCACGTTTAGATATTTCGCGCATTATTGCAAAGCCTATGCGAATGCTTTCTATAATTGCACACCTTTTTCTCTGAGCCAACGCTTGACTTAATACTGGTTAGAAGCTAGGAGGATCCTGATCTTCCTTATACTTATGCAAGCTCTTGAGACATTTTCTTTGCATCCACTATAGACGTTGAACATTTGACCTAGTCATGCAACGCACTTGAATAATCCATATGTTATCTGTATGTTGAATATGTAGAAGATCCGCTACACCCAGCTCTTTGTCTACACATATTTAAAAAAAAAAGTTCGTTGTTCATTAGCAGGCCACAATGGTGATCAAGAACTAAAATATTGCAGATACGGTCGTTTTATCAATGACGTAGTCTATATTAACAAAAACTTAACAATTTATTGCATAAATGCAAACAGCACTTCGTGGGGAAATCTCTGAGAACTCACTCGGTCAACATAGTGGAACAAAGGCTAATTCTGACTAACTTTTTTAATTGAGTTTTGTTTGTTGTTGTTCCATAACATACAGTGTATATCTGGAAATAAGTATGGTTTATTCCTGAAATCCCTTTCGATAATACCATATATTATTGAAAAGGTGTGAGTCTTTTTAATTCGTTACTTTGCACATAATAATTCATTTTAAGATTTAGACTTATGTTATTGCCATTGTTAATCATCTAACAATATTTAACAAAGTTAAGCTAAGCTCTTCGGATGAACGTTTGGAATTAACTCTGGCCACGGGGCCAGTGCAATGTAGATCACAGCGGTAACAAAGAAATCTGTCGATAAGCAAATTTTTGTCATTGTTAAACGTTTTTCTCTGTATTGTCATCACATTATAGAAGATGTCACACGCGAAAGTTGAAGCTTGTTCAAGATTTAGCACAAAAGTTAACAGAGTGAGTGCACTGTTTAAGTGAAAAAAAACGATGTTACAATGCACTTAATCAATAAACAGATGAAGAATGTACGATTTGAAGGAGATGAATAAATATGCATTAGTATGACACATCCAAATTTGTTTAGTTTTTCTCATTTTTGCAAGCTTCGGTGCGAAATATAGACATCAGTGATCATCTAGGCAGCCAACTCTCTTCATTTAATTAAAATCAAGTTGGAACGAAATCAGTTAGGGGTTTTATCGGCAGAAGCCTACCTTGTATATCAGGGGTGAGTCACTGCTCAAGTTTCAATTCCATGAAGCGGATTCTTGCTTCAACCTGACGAATAACTACACACACCAGATTTAAGAGATAGCCGAAGCTTTTTTTGGCTTAACTTACTCTAACAGACATTGCTTTATTAGAGGAAGTTATGTCACTTACTTGCAGGAGAATACGAGTTGCAAATCCCAATTAATTGTCAAATAATATTTTTGTGTTAATACTTAAACCGCAGATAAATGCAGCTCGAAGCTAGCTATTAGGAAAACGGTCGGATATATTCATACTGTGTGCGTCTTTACATGTTGGCTATTATGAACCTGTATTTATCAATGTATATATAATTTATTAATAAAATGTTACTCATTTATTTTCCAGCAATCTAGAACATCGACCAAACTCTTTCCCTTAGTTTCCTTTGTATATATCCTGAGATCTTTGTCGATGTATATATCAATTTCGTAGATATATAGTCTAATAATATGATTAGCAACATATCCCTTTCTAACAGCACGAGCATCGCGTCATCGGCGTTTGCACTCGCTAAATAATGATACATCCTATGGCTTTACATACCTATTACGACTGAAGGCGCGTTTTAGCTTGAACGTTGTCTCTCCTTATTCTTATCCCCCACCTAACCTTATTAACTGAGTATTTAACCCATTGTGTTCTAAGCATCGGTCAAGCTTATGCGACATTTTAATCAAGCTGTGTTTATCGCACGTGTTGAGATTCTTCGTGTTTGGTGAAATTGTACTTCAGACTGGGATTTACTTAGTTCCTTACTCACGCTGACAAATCACGACAAATTACTTTGACGCAGATGCTCTGCCTGGCAACATCATTTGCTCCTTCTCTGGGTTTGCTGTGACAGCGATGAAGTTACTGCTAAATCATTTTTACTACTCAACTGCTGCTCTTATTCTCAGCTGTTTCTGTATAATACTAAACTCTTGAAGAGTCTGATCATTTTCATATTCAAGGTTTTTCTATGATAAACTTCATCCCATGTGGAGCCCGATAGATTTTGAAACCTTTGAAGAATGCACCCTATCCTTAGAAGTGTAAACCTGGAATATTCACGTTTCATCAAAAGGAAAACAACAGGTAAACGAAGACAACTGCTGTATTCATCACAAATATAGGTACTACAAAATAGATAAATGTTAGTGATTAACAAATCGTATATCAGCCCGTACAATTAGGTTACATGTAGGTTACAAACGCGCCTGAAAATTCAGACTGTAATGGCCCATATCCAATCTTTGATTTCTCTTATAGCGCTACTATTGTTTTGTTTTAATGTCACATCTTAATCTATCCACACAATAATAACCTTATCAACTGGACTTCATATTTCAAACGATGACTACTTGAAAATATGTACAGTTCTCATCAAAGGCTTATGTTACCCAGCGTATCCAAATGACAGCAACCTAATTTATAGACTAAACTATATTTAGAGAATAATCAGACACTAAAATATACGTAGCAGGTCATTTCGCACTTGATCTTTTGAATTTACTCTGAGATTGGTAAGGTTCATAATTTGAAATATATTTGGAAATATTTCGTCGGCAAGCCTAAGGCGGCCATCCTTTAGAAAAAACAGACCCTAAGTGCTGCTACTATTCCGATACGTATGTCTGGTTTCTAAATGCTAGTGTTTTTCAAGTACGTTACTATTTTATGTATATGTACCTGTATACATACAAACCCCTGCCAAAGACATTTCTTCTCTGTGAAAGGATGGTCTGAGGTCCAATCTAGTTCATAAATTCTTTTTTTTTTTAATTTTTAGCCGGAAGTTCTCTTAGTTTTAAGTTGAAAGTTTCTAAAAAGTCTTCGCCTTCGGACCTTTACTAAGCTTGTGCGCGATAGTTCTTTCTACACAGATAAACAACTCTAGCTCTTTCTGACAAAAAGAATAATAGCAATGGTATCGAAATATGTACTTTTGTGAAATAACTGTTAGCATATTTAATTCTTTTTAGAGAGACATTCTAATTTATATTTGAACCATTCTTCATACATCAAGAACTCGGCTATAAAGATTTATGTTAGGTTGGTTGTACGCAAAAAATAACTATCAGTTTTTACCTAAAAATAACATTAACTTTATTTTCATAATTAAACATTGATCATGTGCATTCTATGTGTGCATGTGCAATGGTTCTATTTCAATGTCTTGTTTCTTAAAAGGAATCGCACTGGAGAAGCACTTCTATTATTTTAGGACTACAAAGATACATTTAATTACCAGAACCGAACGGATGCCAAAGCTGGACTTCATGTCTCACAAATTGGTGAAAATTGTCCATCATTTTTCCGGTTTTTTCATATCTTCGATTCTCCGTGTTAAGTTTGTTTTGACGCTCTTTGACCTCGTTCATGAGGTTCTTCCAACTGTTTTCCAAAGAAACTATCGTAAGCCGAATGTATGGGTTACCAGGAGTGTTGATGCTGTAGTAGTCTTAGAACTTCGTGTCGACCATCTCCACTTCGATTAAATCGTCATGGATTCTGGCCATTTTCGACAGAAGCTACAAGAACCTTCTGTGAAGCTCTTTTTAAAATCTACTTCCGCTTTCTCGAACCACGGATGCAAGGCGATCGCTTTCTTGCTAAGGTCTTTATAGTTTAGTCGTGTCTAAAACTGTTTCACAGCTATAATATGCATACGTACAAAGACGTACGTTTGACAAATCCGACAACTTCTAATGTTCATAGCTTCTACTGCGCCGGCGGTGAATCTGCTATTGAACTCAGTCTGCTTCTAAGATACACCTAAATTGACGATAGGAATCTACCGGAATGTTGGCCGTTTGTTTAAGTTTCTCTTTCTGCAAACCCTTTCCTTATAAGGTCATTTGACAATTTCACAAAAATTACGGAAATAGCCGGCTTTCGAATTATAGCTAATCGCTCCATTTTTCGCCTATTCTTTCATTATCTCCTCGGAGATTGTTACTAGATAACTATGTGAGGTCGTCATGCTGGTGCGCTCATAAGCTGTCAACCGCATCGTCTAATAAGTATAACTTAAGCACCGAACTAATGAGTTGATCACTTTACTAGCTCCGGGCATACATGAGTACAGAGGATGCGTCTCTCTTCTATCTCGCCTAAAAACACCCAATTAACAAAAATTGTCTCTCTTCATTTACGCAAGGGCTTCAATTAGAAGCCCTTAGAGATAGAAGAATAGCTGCCTTGTACTTCGTGACATAGACCAATATGTAAATATGACACTCAGATCTGTTTGTCTTTCTTATTTGGCGTCCAACTTAAAGTAGGACTGACAGATCACAGAGAACCATATTGCTAATTTATCTGAAATATTCAGAACAGACTCCGTTGTGTGCCAACATAGGCGTTTCACGCATTGATAATATCCCAGCTTCTAATGAACGGCTTGCATATTAGATCATAGGCTAAAGTGCAACCATAAAGCCTCGTCTACGACTACTATATAACTGCATATCAGTGCGGGAATGAATGTTCAAAGTGACCTTTAGATCATTTACATCTGTCGCCTAAAATAGAAAATCTGGAAAATTATAACATGAAAAAATTTGGACATTTAACTAACCAAAGGCGATGGCCTGCAACCGAAATACGGCGCGTCAGGTATCACTGCTAACCGAGAATAAAAATAAACATTAATGACTCTCAATGATTAACCGCATTCACTAAATCGTAGCGCCTAACTCAACACGTACATGTGGTATAAATGATATCAGTGACACACAACTCGTGACCCGTCACGAAAAAAGCTAACTAGTTGACACCTTGCTGGCGCATAGCTGAGAAGAAGAGCTCGTTCTTACTCAGCTGGCGCTGTCGTCTGCAGACTATTGCACAGTCTAAAGGCGTGTTACGTTTCAACACAACACAACGACAGCTGACTACCCTTTCGTCGAATTAAGCCTATAAGTTTAAATTCACTGCTGAGAATTGAATGTCTCATATACATGTCTTCTCTATATTCCTGAGTAATTTTTAACGATTACTGCGAGTGAATTAATGCTGGCACGTCTTGCTAACACACATCACATCTTGTTTCAAATTTACAAAATCCAATTGACTAAAACTTTGGGCCGGTAATAGGCCAACGTTGTTAAAAAGTTAGTCTCAAAAAGGCAAAACTCCCTAAAACACGCGAAGGGTTGCGTAGGGCCGAGAATGGATTAACTGTTGTAATTCACACAAATTTACAGGTATTTCAACGTTATTAGAATTGTCTTTTTGTCCTCTTTGGTACATTTTTGACCAGTTAAGTTTAAGAACTGCAGATCTTCCGTTTTAACCTGTGCAAGTCTTCCCGGATTCATTGACATAACAGGCAACAACGGCGTGGACTCGGTTATGTAAGTTTGCAGTCTTTGTGCGAAAACGCGAAAATACTACTCAATAAGTAATCTTCTTTCATATTTCAAATATGAACCTTTGCTATGATGATTTTGGTCTCTTGTTTTCGGAAGGATTAGTGTTCTTCTAGCACCCAGAATATTGGATGAACGTATAATCTTGACAGTAGCCGCGCCAAAATCGGTTTTAATTTATTTGAACACGCTGAAACATGTTTAGTTTCAGTTTATATTTTAAATAGCACGGTCGTGCTTTATACTGAGTTGATGCATGTGGGAGAAGAGGTAACTGAGCTTTTTCCTTTTATCAGTTTTATTCTAGATAATAAATGCATTGAGCTTTACGACCAGTACTGCCGTTAAGCATTGCCTTACGCTGTTGTATCATAGCGTAAAACGAAGCGTATATACGCCCGGTTCTGAATCTAGGTCACCTCAGGTATGCCTAAGTTTCGTACACAAATAGGCTACCACTACGTAGCTCAAGTAATTTCCGAATGATCGAGCAATTAAGTGGCAGTATATATTATATTTACATATTTATTTAAAAGGCAGTTTATCACAATACCAAAAAGCTAAGCGAAAATGTCCAATCTATACGGCTATATATCAGCAGCCGCGCAGGAGATTCAGAAAAAAACAGTTGGCTAATTAAGTGATTATAATCAACATGAAAAAATTAAAGATAAAAAAATCAGTCGAATAAAAAGACGTCAACGTGATTGAAGAAAACTTCGTATAAGAGCTTCTTTGATTTATCGCATCTGCAGTTTACATTATATAATTAATCGAAATATATATTAGGCGCATATTATGGCTGAAGTAATAAGTGATTAATTGACCCCATTATGAGTACTTTTTCACGCAGGTCAAGTTGATGTGACTTACCTGCTTTTACGCTTTCAGGAGTATACTCACAACTATAGGATCAACTGCTTAAGCTAAAATCGAGCCGCAAGATTAAAGGAAGATTGACACTGATGGAGAAATAACGAGCTCTGACGCTTCGAAAGCTATTAACCTATACTTTCGAAGATATTTGCAAAATAGCAGACCGTAAATATACTACTAGCTAGAGTCGCTAGGAAACTATCCGCATTGTATTCATTGCGTAAAAAAAGTTAACGAGGATCTAAGACGTCTTCTATAATATGAATCCGTAGTAAATCTTTTCGGACGTCTGTACACTCAAATTGCAATGACGTCTGTGCAAAGCGGTTGGCAGAACTATTCGCGAACAGGGTTAACGGGTACCGGAAGGAGCTTAATGGGAAGGCCGAGAGGCGAAAAGCGCAAGCGATGAGACTGCGGCGCAAATCTTTCTTCGATGCAAGTCTAGTCTTATTTCCAGAAATTCGCTCCCGACAGTTATGTTCTGCAGTTAAACACATGGCTCGCTAATGTCTCAGATGATCTCCGAGATTCGACTGCTCATGAGCTATATGTACATTAGTGCGAAGAAAATCGGCAACTTTTTTTAATATGCACACATTACTTTCGCTTTATAGCATTTTCAGTATCTATTTTATCTATACACACAATTCATGTACTCTATACACAAAAGGGGTTTTTGTGTCGCTGTAGCAGAATACGTAGGTTAGGTACGTACTGGTATAACTAAGTGTTACTCAATTCGATTCAGTGAGTTATCGAATTTTCTTGCCGAACCGTTTCCAAAAAACAAAGTTTTAAGCCTCCGGAAACACAATGAGTTGCCAATAATTAACAATCATAGCAGTCATTATGCGTACATCGACTCGCTTTAACACACTCGCAATCTCTTACTTAGTACGCACACAATTATTGTTAGTAAACCGTAAATGTTTTTTTCTTAATACGAAAAGGCTTAAACGAGCGTACGTGACCGCTATACAAAATCATAAGGTACAGGGATTCAATGAAACCCTCTTAAATAATAAAGTAAATCAAACACAAAAACTATGGTTGTAGTGTCTCCTCTTGTGACAATACATGTGCTGCTAGCACTAAGAGTGAGAACAGTATAAGTTCGTTTTATCATTCTATACTGCTTTCTAGTCGTTCTTAAATTAACCAGTTTGTTTCCCCATTTTTCTTGCTGTTTTCAGCTAAGATAGCAAACTCTTAAACTGATCTTATTTTTCATTATCTCTTGTGAAGAAATACCTGCTAAAGGAAAACCCCTTTCAATAAAGTCGAGACGTTAAATCGAAATCTCGCAGTCGAAAATATTTTTCACCATATAATTTATGTAGTAATGTTTATTCAACTTCAGTCAACCTGTAATGTCGTCAAAATGAACCCGTGAATAGATAGGCACGTCTCTATACATTCAGAGGCATCTGATCTGGTACAATATTGCATACATTGCATTGTTCTATACAGAACGCATTAAATTGTAAACATGAACTGTATTGCAGGAAGGCGTGTCGAAAAAATTATAGTAAGTTATGGCAAGAACATATTCACGCTTATTTGCCTCACATCTTTTTAGGCAAAAAGATGTCCATTGAGTATCGGTATTGTTAATGTTCATTTGAGACACTCTTCTTCTTTATATCCTTTTGTATCCTTTGATAGCCATAAACAAGTGAGTACTTTTGAATCTGTTAAATTCTGACTTTGAGAAAATAATCAGTAGACGTTAGACTGCAGTTCAGTAGCGTGTGATTACAATTAACGTAAGCTAGATTAATAAGAACTGCGGCATCCCGCTAAACTTGTTTACAGATATAGACTATTAAATAAGGATCCGGGACACAGTATACATTTCATTGAGGTTTGACAATAAGTGTCTTTTTAGGAACCATCTTTAATTCAGCGAGAGTTTTGTTGAAACACTTCGAAGCGACTTCTCGCTTAAAGCGAAACACTCCTGCCACAAAAATTTTATACTTGTCTGGAGGAAAGCCCTTGCTCTGAAGATAGTTTACAACTGATTGAAACGGATTGGTCTTAAGGAAACGTCTTGTGTAGCTTCGATTCGAATCCGTAAATTTGAAGAACAACACAGTAATATCGTCGCAGTCTTCAGGAGGTTCGGGAGGCACTTGAGATTTGTCATCGTGATTAATATTATTGTTTTCTTCCGATTGTAGTGGTGCTGGCGATATAACGCTTTCATCATGAACAACTGGAACTTCGTCTATTTGAGGTATAGAGGGAATAACGTCAGGTATGGAGGTATTAACAGGCTCCGGTGAGGAAGCTACAAACTCAGCCTGGGAGACGTCTACAGGGGGTCGAGGGACACTACGAAACTGTGGCGGCTTTGGTGGTCGAGGGGGAAATTCCTCACCACTATTATCAGACATGTCGCCAGAGGCTATTTCCGTAGTCTTTTTCACACATGTCTGCCGACTCTGGCGTACAGAACTTCTCAGCGGTGACAAAAGGGCCAGCTTTGGACAAGCATCTTCTCCCTCTGTAGCACGGTTTTTTTTCGAACCAAACGAGGTTGAAGGTTGATCTCTGTGTTGGGTCTGGGGTCTCATGGGACTAACCTTGGAGACAGGCTTATTATGAAAGCCTTGCATATTGTGGTGTTGAAAGCGTTCTCCGGCATCGCCTGGATCAGGAGTTTTTGTTTGACGCCGATCGTGCATCTGGTCATAACCTAGAGACTTATTGCTTTTCATAGATTGTGCCCTAGCAATATTTTGCTTGGGAATTCCTCCCTCTGCACCACGTAGTGGTTGTTCGCGCACCCGAAAGTTTGTACTACCTTTTTTTACAGTCTTTTGGGGGGAATTGAGATCTTCCATTGAGCGTGCAGCCTTGAATCTATCTTCTTTTAACTTGTCAGCACCAACCTGATGTCCCCGGTTCCGATTGTCCAGTGAAGGTTCTCCTTTGCGTATAGCCATCTGGTTTCTAGATGCTGGCCGACCAGCCTTAATCAGCTCATCGATAATTTCCTGGTTGTCCGATTCCGTATCGGAATCAGCTTCTTGTTCGTTAGCATTTGCCTGTACCTTCGAGGCGGATGGGATGGCGTTCGTGCCAGTAACAGAATTATTATTGTTATGATTGGATCGTGCAGGTCTTCCTCGGTTGATAACTTGGCGAAGGAGTTCTTCATCCTCAGAGTTGGAATCGGAATCTTGATTATTGTTGCCTTCTTTATCGAGATCTGGCATCGATTTGTTCGTATTACCATTGGTGAATGGCACTTCTGGCGCTGAGGGATTGAGTCGAACCCTCCTTGGCAGTGTTCTTGGCTTAAATCCATATGAAGACTCGGATTTCTGGTCGTCAAAACTTCTATCGTTACTTCTGTGTTGTTGCTCTTGCTGCTGTTGTTGTTGTTGCTGCTGCTGCTGCTGCTGCTGCTGTTGTTGTTGCTGTTGCTGTTGCTGTGAATTTGCGGGGCTCAGAGGCAGTGGCATCAATGTTTCGGACTGGCCAAGTGGACTAAACATGTCTGGATGGTGTGGTGATTCTAACGGTATCTGTGAGCTGTCCTGCAGCGGAGTCATGGGCTTACGGCGACGCGGCCGTGGTATCGGAGTGCTATAGTCACTTCTCGGACAGATACTGCTGAGATCTGAAAAGCTCGTGGCGGCTGACAAATTGGCTGGAGTATCTTCAGTACGATAATTATGTAACGAGTCATCCAACATGTATGGGTCACCCACCATCTTGGAGTCGGCGTACGATCGCATTGGTCGAGACTCTGCATGAGGCCTAACTAGTGGTGGAACAGGCGCTGTCGATTCCATTTTGCTTTCATCAATAGAAATCGGAGTAAAATGAGTTGACTGCGTCATTTGCGAATTTCCCTGGTGCATTGTTGGATGATAACCATAGGCAATCTGTTGAGTTGTGTGTCCAACATGGCCCGGACTTTGAAATTGCTTTGTTTGTTCTGAAGATCCCGTGTAGTGATGTTGGTTGCGCCGACGATCTTTTGGAGATGGTGGCATGGTTTGCCCTGGAGAGTCAGGTAAATCAGATGGTGAGATAATGCCCGAGGGCTGACGACTAAATTCCGAAATTACAGAGTGTGCATCATCAACTTGTTGACCGTTGATACAGTAACTGATAAGTGAATTAGGAGAACTGCTACGTGACCACACCTGTACAGATAAATACCAAAAAAAAACACATATGAATTGGTGTTATTGTAGTATTTTTATTTTGAGTGAAAACAATCTATATTCCCATAGGTAGTTAATAAACCAGTTAACGTGGAGATATGACCATTGTATATTCCTATCACTAATATGGGTACATCCAGAACGCTGAAGTACTGACTGCAATTGACTTTTTGCTTATACAAGTGTATGTACTATTAATAGAAATAATAGTCAATGTTCCGTTATATGAGTATAAGGTAGTTAGTCTATTTTTCCTTATTTTGAATCTTTGTTCTTTGAATACCTCATATCCATCTTACGTGGACGGTTGCAGCTGAACGTGCATTTTTTTTATAACTTCCCAACGGTCCGATTTTAAAGTTCTGCATCTAATTTATCTCGTGATATTCACTGTACAGTATATTGGCGCATATATAGAACAAATGACATTAATAATAAGATGGAATCTAGAAAGAGTCAAAGCTTGTTAGTGCTGTTGTGAATACTAGTACATCTGGACGCGTCATTGCGTAATTGCTTGCAAATTCCATGTTCGAGGTGAAGGGAAAAATGAGGCCTGATTTAGCAAAATTTTCGCATTGATGAAAGAACAGTATCGTCATTTTGACCACCAACAAGCACATCTGCAGTAATCATAACAACAATCACCAACATAATCACTATAATTTACAGTTGAGAAACCAGCGTCAACAGAGATCGACTGCACCGACAGCGAGATTTTCGCATACACCATTATAGAGAGAATATTTTTCCTCGTACGCTGGTACAACAGCTGCTATTTCTCCATACAATTAACAGCTCGCGACAGACCATCAGCGAAAGCTGCAAGCGTTAGAGCTTACTCATAAACCGGTTTCCCCGCCGGTAATTCAAATATAAGCGGCATCGTCAACTCTGAGGAGGTACTTGGTGGAGATGCATGCTTGTACGTATATATAATATACGAATGCTACGATATGTGAATGCGCATGGCTATAATGTCGTTTATATCATATTGACCGCCTGATTATACCTTGCCTTGCATGCTCTGTTAACAAGCGATCCGAATTTTGATCGTTAATCGAACTGAGAGTATACCAACGGGATGATATTAGCGAACTTGGAGCACTCGGCCATGTCATTTGGCAATTGCATATTCAATATGGTGACCACGATAACGTCTACCTTAACTTTTGGCTTCAATGACACTATAAAATAGATATATACTAACACGTGTCCCGTAATTTCCTTTATGCTTTTAGGTCGTCGATACATCATGCTGAAATGGTAATCCTGCTAAAGACATGACTAGAAGATATCATAGCAGCTATGATAAGGAGTTAACGCGTCGTGATTGATAGGAAGTTTTTTTTTCACTAAGGACTGCTACTTATAAAACGCTAATGTTTCCATTTTAGTAGAAAATGGACTCGATTGTGTTACGTAAAATTTGACATTCGTATAAGGAATGTCATAATTGATATATATTCCAATTCAGATTTTATATATTCTATGTGCATTTGTGAAACTAGCGGTCGTGCTTTTGCCCGGCGCAAAACAAAAGGTTTATAACTTCCTTTCCCTTTGAAATTCCTAGGGACAACTTTCCGAAAGTCGCCTAGTAATATATAATTTTTCAAATTGCAGTAATTAAAATACCCAATTATAATGCATTAACCATTGTCTATATACACATTTCGATGTAATAATATGACTTCAATTCATGAAATAATTCAACCGAGCCTAACACATCTATCTCATCTTAACGTTTCTAGTTTAAACCCTATTGTAATTTTTTTAGCTTTACTAGTAATCACATCGACCTCACAATTGGTAGTTCACTACACAAACATATTTTAAAATTTGACGACTACGTATCTACCTCAACAATTAATCAAAATTCTCGATTAAACGGTTTTAGTATGCTGCCTACCTGTGGGGTGGCATTGGCCGTAGCGGTGTGGCTCGCAAGCTTCACCTCTTCCTGCTCATGAATTGTGGCTGGTTGCCTTCGCTTGTCACCCCCGCTAAGGTCACCGGCAGACGATGCTCGGCTTATGTGGCGTGGGGTACCTTCCGTACAGTAGACGCGCGGAACGTCATCTTCTTGGTAAGATGATGATGATGTCTCAGCACGCGTCTTCGGCTCATCCATCGCCTAGTGATAGAAAAGAATTTGGAAGGTATAACGGAAGTCCTTCAAGCCTTGGGTTCGCAGATATTTAGCAACGTGAAAACAACTGTACTGATTGATGATCGTGGTGTCTGCCCACATAACCACCCTATTAATCATTACGGTTAAGCATGCTTACAAGAGTACTAATCTATATTAGTAACTGTTTCTAGTTATTAAATATAGCCATGATTATCGAATTAAAGCAGCGTAAGCGAACACAGAACAGCTTCTTATGCTAGAGCCATATTCGTAAAAGCTACTAGTCGTCCATCAGCTGCATGGTGAATACGCCAAGGTAAGCATAGTGGAAACACCTTTTGTGAGTAGTATCTTAAGACCGAATTCTCAACGTGTATCACAAACAGCATACTAGAGGCACGAAAAAAAAGCCTAAAAAGAATGGAAATTTTAAAAAACATACCCTTTTGCTGTTTTTTCTATTTCAAGTTCTCGGATTTTATAGCCAGTAGAAAATTTAGTTCTTCGAAATATGACATGGGAGAATAGCAGGTAGTGTTCATAGTTTTGTTAAGCCAGTCTGTGGATGAGCACCTAAACACATTTCTTCCTATCTTGGGTACTTTGTTTTTAAGTTTACTAGGGATAGCACTTATTATTTTGTGGCCTGGAACAGTCTGCCAAGTCTGATATAGATGGCAATTCACAATTTAGTGTTAATTAAAATTAATGAATAGAGTTCAGTAGTTTTTAGGCCTCGGATCGAATGGACCCGAATGGTTAGATTGTGTCTACTGGTAAAAGTCCCCTAAATTCTGTTCGACAAGAGTGTACATAATTTCTGTATTGTATCTACAGTAGTTGTGAAGTACAGTTACTTTTAAACTTTTATCAATGCACCACGTTGACAGATATGAGTTTGTAATAAAAAGTTTTTCTATTGGGATCTCAAAGAACGTGCTGGCTCACTTATTTAGGTAGGACATGCTCAAAGCAAGGCAAAAAATTAACAATTCGTGCACATTTTACTACTGGCACAATACTTCCCACTGTTTAGTATTGCGACATTTACGTAAGGTAGTTATAAAGTTCTGAGAGATAACTCATAATCATTTTAACTTATCATGTCGCATTAACAGTTTATTCAAAAAAAGTTGTGCCACGTAAAATGAGTGCATTACTCAGTACAGTGAAACTTATATGTTATTAAAATATCCTTTTTAAAACATTCTGCCATCATGAAAAGTGCTTACAATATTATAGCTCATAGAATATATAGCTACACGAATGATTCTACTACACATTATAGTTAACAGGGCTCTTCATTTGTGATTATAGTATTTCTCTGTAAAGCTTTATTTACTTTCATGGTCACTATTACTGATTTTGTATACTGTTCGTATATTGTTATAAAAGTTGTGAATATGGCTATCGTTTCTCCTCACCTCAGGAAATTTACTACTATAGTCGACAAGTTCTTCTTCACTTGGTTCCAGATCGACTTTGCTCCCGTGAACCCCAAAGACATTGCCCCCTGCAGAAATTCTGCTCATCTTCATCGGTCCTGTCGAGGCCCCCAAGTCCACGTTCATCCTTCGACAAAACCTTCACAGTTGCCTCACTTACGCGAAAAAAATGAAAACTCCGACAGAAGCCACAACCAAAGCGCCGAGTAGAACACTGTCACCTTCAACACAGAACAACTCAAGTGGATACTATGGGACGGAAGACAAAAACAGAATAGGAGTAAAATCGAATTATCGATATTTACTCCTTTGAGGGCTAGGTTTTTCTTCGCATACGAAGATAATCGACTGACTAAGTATTTAACGTTTCCAGTCTGTTGAGTACGGCTGAAGTAGCAAAGTTGGACTTCCTTTAGGTTTTTATATTTAACTAAGTGCTATCCATCATGCGTTTTTGTATCTCTATGTAAATGCGCATGCTAAACTAGCCACCGGTTGTAATTTTGATAAAAAAAAGTTTCCACGGCAAACACTCTCCAGTTTAATTTACATCAACGCCGAAGTCTACGTAGAGACCCCGGGCTACTTAATTCGCGTTCCGGTTCCAGTCTTACACACACAAAAACAATTCGAATAACACCTTCATCACGAACATGGACGTAGAGGAGGGGTTTTAATGTATCACCAAGACGTCACACAACACCAGACGATATTTCCATCAATAATGGCATAAACCAGTCAATGCTCCCCTTTGATTCAACAAAAACAATAAAATCTACAGCCACAACGACAGCTTTACATGGCTATAAACGACATCATAGGACACACTCCGAATGATGGTCTCCTCCTCTATTGTTCCGTGCCTTTCTGTTAGTAAACACCATAGGCACGTATTCAAAACAGTATAGTCTAGCTGTGAGTACAGCGCATCGATCAGCTACCGCCTGTAAGAGTTCTTTGCGACGCCGGTCGGCTGATAGCAGTCACAGCAGTAGCTCCGTTTACTACGAGCAGCCCCAGCAGCAGCACTAACTGTAGCGCGATTTCGCTGCTCGCTGCTTCGGGTGATGAGCGCCTCTCTGGATTTGAGAGATTGGGAGGCTGCGATTGGGGAGAGGGGAGCCGAGGTAGGACGAGCTAAGTCGGTCACCCTGTAGTGTATGGCCACCCGGCCTGTGGGCACTGCTCATCGCATTGTATTAGTGCCTATCATCATCATCATCGCCCCCCACAGCTGGGCACGGAGAAAACATATTTTTTTTTGACAGGACACGGTGGGGTAACTATATGCCGATTTTGAGAGTCAAGCAGTTAAATTGTGCAGAAACTTATATAGGCCCTGCTGGCTCGAATCTTCATATTTACATGTATAAATGCGTAGTGCAATATCCTTTAATAAACAGAGTGTGTTTAATTGATACATTTTAATAATGAAGAGTAGTTGAACATACCTAACAGATCAAACAGAACATCATGGAAAAGAAGGTATGCCTGGATTGTTCAGATTTGGACGAGACAATAACGAACTCGACAATGCGGTATTACTATCAGAGAGTAGAATGAAAAGATAAGAGCACTTGAGACTGAACGACTATGACCGCAAATTGGGTCTTGTTGCCCTTAGGCAAAATGGCAAGAGATATGAAATGAAACATGAGGAGGAAACACGAGAGTCAGCAGTAGTTTAAGTTAAGCAGTGGAACTGATGTCCCTCCCGAACCACATTGTCGCACGGAATTATACGAAAGGTATATGAAGTGATCGATGCGAAGAGAGAAGGAGCATAAAGTAGATAACCGGATTGGTTTGCAGGCGTAGAACAGTTTGTTTTCATTGCTTCACCTATGACTCGCGTAGGTTCTGTACGTAAACGAGCAGTACAAAATAGTTGGGGGTTGTGCCCATAAACATTGTAGCATACTGGTGCTGGGTCTTTTGGCGAAAAGGAAATATTCAAATTTCCACTCGAGCGTAAAAGCAGGATTTGACCAACCGCGATAGAATGAATGCTATACTCCACTGTTTACACTGTTCGTGAGTTCCGAAAAGAAATTTCTCTTATAACTCACTCTTGCCTCAGAGGCAATTTGGTAAGGTAATAGCGTGTAAATTGCCAGTCCGTTGTTATTAACTACTACCGACAGAAGACATATTTGTACTGTCCTATATAGTTAACAATAGTAATGCTGGTAAGCTGCTCATGTTTAAACCAAAGAAACCGGATTCGACCCCATGAAAGAACCCCATTACCGGCGCACCTTTCTTAAAGGTCATCTTAGTTACTCCTACTATGATTGTACAACATGGAATTAAGTTATTAAGTAGCAGTCACTATGGTTTTAATATAGTGTTCTGCATTATTATTCTCCGCTAAATATTCGCCAACTAAACATTAATTGTTTAAATAAACGTTATGATTATGGTATTATGATTCACACTAATGGTAATTACTCGGATGGAGACAAACGGGTAATTAAATATGTATGTATATATATGCTTTCAACTTATGAGAATATTGTGAAGCTTTCTGTAGTGTCTCAGAATTTGGTTAAATTGACTTCAACAACTGGTGTACGAGTAGGATCATGAGTGTGTTTAGCTTATATAAGGACAAGCGGTAAAAAATAATATTTTGATATGACACAACGTGACTTAGAATAAAGGTCACCGCCTGCACTCGGCTTCCTGTGCATAGCGTTCCTCATTTTTCGACAAATTTTTAATGTTACGGAGAGCAGAGACCGGTCGGCGATTTATTATTACGTGTTGCAAAGTTGTATAACATTAAAAAGATGGGCATCGTTCTTGGAACAAATAAAAATAATTAAGAAATTATTGAGTTTCTGATGTGCACGTTGCTCCTTGGGGTTTCTGACTTTATCGAGCTGACAAAATCGAGTGAGAATCAAATGAAGAGGACGGAGGCGAGCCTAACCATATATTAAAATAGTAGCGCTCGAATGAATCCTACGCGTTTGGCATAACCGATTGTTAAATAGGGTGGTCCCAAGCACTGCTATCTGAATTGGATATTCTTCGATGTGGTTATGATACTTAGTATGGTTGTACAAACTACGACCACTCGAATATAATTATTCTCTGTACTAAAATTACTTGTGGAACTTGAACCTATTCCGAGTGAAATCGATAGTAGTATCACACGTTAACCATCTTTCTCACCTTTCAGACCAGATTAACCACAAGTGATTATTCTACTCTTTTGTTTGGCGCTCTTTTATTCATGGTTTACATCATTTTCTAGGTCAGACAGAGTCTCAATTATATATAGAATAGCATATAGGCAATAATCTGATATCGATGGCCGTTCGCAAGACACCGAAGGCTTATTGTAGATATTGGTAGACCTCAGGGTTAACCCAATGCTAACGTATTTGCATATTAACTTAAGAGCATGAAAGGTGGTCTAGATTTGAAATCTAAAGGCCACACGCTTTTCGTGCTGCCAAGAATCAGTAAGTGTATTTTACTAGGTACTGCTCTGGCTTTTCTATGGCACAGTTCAAATTTTGGCGCGGTCCGGCGTATCCACCATTTCATAAACTTTCATCGGATGGACCCATTGCGGAAGCAGACGCTCTGCACGGGCGACTCATGTATCTTATGTTGGAGAACATTTTCGCGGTATTTCTTAATCGTGCGACGGATCTTCGTTCTAATCTTTCTACTAGGTATGCTAACTTGCTCTATTTGACTATTGCAATTCGCAATCTTTCCCCGTATGTTGACATTCTCCTGTTTTGTTTTCTGTGCAGCAAGATGGCCTCCGATTTTTACATTGAATTTAACTGTGCTACTAGTGTGTTTTAGGTAGCAAACAATGGTAGAAGGTACGTTTGGATACTAAGAATAAGTCTTTCCTCTCAAGTTGGATTGTATTTTCTAGTACGTTGCTGATAAGGGAAATAGTATGTAAATATTCTCGTGGGTTCACACGATGTCAGTATGCATGTGCGAATCAGCGAAATCATTTGATAATACTCGAACAATTATTGATACTAGAACTATGAAGTACTTAAAGTTTTCATTTCATTACCTGTCTTATAGATTTATATATGACATATATATATATATTTACGCAAACGTGCCTGCTCTAATGTTTGAACTGGATTTGAAAATATATTGATAACGCCAATGGTAATTGTTTGTTTCAAATAGGAAGACTTTGAAATACCACTGCTTGTTATAAGCAAGACCGTATATAGCAAGAAACGTATCTATACGTTGATACGATTATTGGTATGCGAATGGATCTTTTTGTAATATATATATATATCAGTGGTCTGTAAACATTGACATGTTATCTATGAAAATATCTAGCACTCTTTAGTAAAATAGCTAGCTTGTGAACATTCAACAACGATATTATACAAGCACAACTATAGGCTGATCAATAAAGTGCAACCTGCCTCTCTGGCTAACAAAAAATGGCATGAAGAGTTTGTAACCATAGAAGTACAACCGTTATAGGGTTATATAATTGAAAAGTTGTTTGCCAAATTGTTTAAGATGTTGCCATATATTCCACCAGACTTTTTGTCAAATCAATTTATTTATAAAAAACTATCACCAAAGCCTGTATAGGTCTAGGTAAATAATATTCGAAGGAGGCGAGGTGTTGCACAGAACCCACATAAAGGGGATTTTTTGACATGCAAAAATAATTTATCTTTTTTATCCAGCGTTTGATAAGATTCATTCAAATATTTGGGAATGTCGTTGTCCTGCGGTTTAGGAATTATTACTAATTCCAATCGAAATATTAGTCACATTATTAAAAAATTAATTATTATCTTCACCGCACTAAAAATAATTCATGCACTCGGTGCTTTAAGGTTTAGGACTTAAAAAAAAGTTCTCCAGCCTCAACAGCCGAAGGCTCTTTTTTGAAATAAAATATTATATATTCCTTGAGCATTTTTCACATTCTATACCTCCATATAGTTTCTTATAGCTTCCGAACACATATGGAAATGTATAGTTTTTAGGTGATGTCTTTCGCTGCCCAAATTGTGATCGTCTTTTGTCCTTGGTAAACTCGATTATCATTATGTTTTTTATAGTCCTGCGGGCCAATGATATTCAGGTCTGAAATTAAGATATTCAGAAAGTATAATACCAATTAATTGTTCTCTTTTCGGTACTAGTAATAGACGTTTTAAAACAGCCACTTAGCTCTAATGATGGACACTCCGTGTTGTGCTGGAGTATTTATGGCCTTCCGTATATTACAGTTAATATGGCCACAAAACGGACAGCTCCGCTCGACGAAAGTTCCGACGACTCTTCAAAGCCCTTATGCAAATGGGGACCATTATGCTACAGGAAGAATATCGATCATTTGCAAGAGTTTGCTCATCCTCATCGTACAGCGGCAGCTGCCAAGGCTAAACCGGGTGACATGAATAAGGCCAAAGCTATTCCAGCAAAAATAGCTCGGCCGCCAGCGTTTCCATCCACCGATAGTCCGGCTAAGAAATTTGGGGCGCCTTCGACACCACCTAAACCAAAACACTTAGATGCGGCCTTTCTGGAGAGCTGCTATGATTTGCTAGTACGTTTTGTCGATCATGAACATTCTGCATGTATGTTCTTAATTTTATCAAAAAGTAAATACAATAGATTTGCTAATCGCAGAAAAACGAATTTCGGTATGCCCGGAAAAATATTAAAGTATATATAGCATGTAGTTTACGTTTGTTTTGAAACTGATTCTTTTTGAACAGTTTCCAGAAGATCTATTTGACTTGTGGAGTGTGTGCTCGGAGTTGAACCCGGACAATCCTCGCGAAGCTCTGGCGCCACTCCTTGGGTATCGACTTGTGGGACCGTTTGATGCACTTGCACTTAAAGGAATTGTCGATTCAAACAATAAGAGAGCATTCAACTTGCACTATCGATACTATTACGACCCGCCTGAATTTCAGACAGTTTTGGTGGATGTAAGTAGTGTTTACGAAAATTCACTTCACAGATAATTCCGCGTCTTCATGAGTTAAACAGTATCATTCCTATTCATACGATTCGATATTTGGTGGAAGCTTGGAGCAATAATATTCAATGCGTGTATGACACGACGTATTTCGAGAGTAGTTTCGGTAACTTTTTCAACAATAAGCTATAAAGTTTAACAGATATTTTTCGTTCGTGTGTGCAATCATATACAAGCCTAACCAAGAAAATGGAAAAAAAATATATATATTATATATTTTTTTTAAGAAAGAAATCTTTTATATATATATATATATATGATTTCTTTCTTATTACAAGAATATTTATACTGCCTTCTTTTAGGTGGCTTCCGATTGCCATATAGGTTATTTCCGTGACGATCCCAGCGAGCAACCCGTGTTTGTCGCTCAATCCCAGCTTCACCGAAAAGACGTTCAACCGTGGAAGTTACTAATACTTGGGTCAAATTTAATCCAGGTTATACACAATCAGATCAAGGAGCAAATCAAGAAAACGAAAGACGAAGATGATCAAAAAGGTACCAACTCATATTTTGTAAATTTTTAGCTCCAGGCAAGAACGTGGTATTCATTATAACTTGTTTATACAAGACCTACTAGTCAAGCATACATAGTATTTCGTGATAATGTTTTATCTACCCAAGATAGATGTAAGTAAGTCTTCTCGGATAAATTGTGTGCGTTATTATGGATTCGAGTTACCTACTAATGACTCATGAAGAAAATTGCAGTGCGTTTACTCTCCAAAATTAATTTTTTAATGTTTTAATAATAAGTTTATAGGTGCGATCAATTTAAACGGGAATAGCATTTCTAAATTTTAATCTTATCTAGATTAATTGATCTGCGCAGTTATGATGTAATGAGAAATCTATGAACTGAAACTTTGTCAAGGAGCTTAACCATCTTGTTCTCTCTCTAGATGGCAACTTTAAGTCCAGAGCTTTGTGCTTATTTTCACGCGTTACCGTAAGACGCTTAGTTATTTGATTAAAAGCTTGGCCCTGTTTGACAGAAATGCCATCAATATCTTGCTCTTTTTCTAATACATTTCATTCAATTTTTCCAGCAACTTTGGAACAGGTACTAGAAATCGTTTCGAGAGTTTCTCAGAACAAACATTTGCTGAGTTATAAGTCAAAAAGAAAGGCACGTGCCGTTGGCAACGTCATGCATCACGTCGGTATGGTAGTGCCTTACGATGACAAAACTGAAATCGGATATAGGCCACTGACCGTGACTAACGGTATGTTAATTTTTGTTGTTGTTTTTTTGTTAATTTCTCGATAATTAACGTAAACACTATTACTTTAATGTTAAGTATCTTTCAATATCAATAGTTTGATTATTTTCATTATATTAAATCTCTAGGGGTTACTTTCTTCTTATTTTGTGAACGTGCGGGGACAATGTCCAACAAGCAAATCTGAATGACATATAAAATTCAAAAATAAGTTCGAGTAACTAGAGCAATAATAATAACAATAGTAATAAAGAAAAAAAAACATATATTTAACCTATATTTTCTAATTACAGTCGAATTACGCCGTATGATGCAGAACGTCGCATCAGCTCAACAGTCACAAGTAAAGACGGCACTTGCACCGATACAAGACATCGTCACGCTGGTTAACTTTGCTAACGACGAATGCGACTATGGCATGGGACTCGAACTAGGCCTCGATCTGTTTCTATTCGGCAATGAACGCCTTCATTCCACTGCACTGTTTCTTCTTCAGACGGCGTACACGCTTTTACAACGGACAAAATTTGTCGAGATTATTAAGGATCATCTCGCAGCTCGAAAAACAGAAGATTATGACTATCTCAGTAAAATAGCAGCATCAGACGGTGAAGAGCCTGACAAGGAGTAGTCGGGCTGATTTTCTGAATTAGATATTTAATAGCTTATACGTTTTTTAATCGCCGATCTTATCATAAAGCCGTAGAGTAGTGAGCATTGTACATTGCAGATAGTGATATTGAGAGCTTAGGGCAAAGAAAGTGTCCTCCTCATCGGTACATTTGCCAAGCATTAAAACGAGATGACCTTGTCGTTTGGAGGAGATATATTCAAATAGGTATACATTACATAGGCGTATTCTATACAGGCAAATTTTATAGCTTTCTAGATAGCAATAGCTCCGATACTGAAATGGGGATCATTTAATACCACTTTGTTTAGTCTGGCTTTACTCCTGAAAAGCCTGGCTAGAGTTTTTCCTTCGAGCAGAATGCCATAGTTGTTAAATTGTTATAGCTCGTAGGTCGTTAGGCTGGTTTCATGTATATATACAGTATATATTTATATATTAGTAAGTGTTTATGTAAAGTTTTCATTCACATAACATTTTTCAACAACGTGTGAGCTTCATTAAAGTATGTTATTGCTGAGTAAGAATTTTTGTTTTTTCTTTGCCGTAAGAAGTGGAGTTGGTAACACTGTATATTACATATTTTTTAGGAAGAAAGATTTACCTTTAGAATAGCATGGTTGTTTAATATAATATTATCTGCTGATGGGCCATAACAGGCTGATGGGACAGGCACATTTTTTTTTAACTACATTTGAACCCGTCAAAGTTTTCACTCGTTTGGTCATTTTCTACTTTCGAACCGTATTTTGACGTGCGCAGCTTATTGTTAAATGTTATTATGTCCTTAAGGCCTCTCTGAGAAGTGTGTTTTAAGAGTAAGATCTCTTTTTGAGTTTTATAGCTAATAAATATATCTAATTTCATTCATTTTAGGTAATTTTAGATTTTGTCGTTTGCTTTGCATCTAATTTTAATCAAGCACAATGTTTCGATGTCTATACTGTCATGCATGTATTAACATGGTCGTAGACTAACAGAAAGTTAAGTCTTTGTAAAACACGCCAAAAGCGATAGAACAATCTTTGCACATATTTCGGACTGAGACTGTCAATTAGCTTCTTTCGTTTCACTTCGAAAAGCCGGCTTTTCTTAGTTACAAATCGATTTTAATCGATCGATAATTACGAATTTAATCCAAAATCAACCCAAATTTCCCCAATAAATTCAAATTTATACAGAATTAAAAAAAATTGTTTTTATACAGGATATAACTGCCTATTTTTGTATTCAGTTTAAGGTTATTGGCACTGAGCATTCCTTTAGGCGGGACTATTTAATTGTTAATTAATATGTAATGCACGTATATGAGAATAAAAAAGTTAACTTTTTTTAAGAGAAAGCTTACAGTTGAAACCGAAAATAAAGTAGTCTTGAAGAAAATGAAGAACGACTGGTATTGCTTTTTTTTTTTGGACACGTACTTAAAGCTTCTCAAGGTCTGCGGTGCTGACACACCCAGACACTTATCTTAGATGTTTGTGTTTATGCGTTCAAGAAAAACGTTATTGTGTTAGTAAATCTTCCCTCGATTGACGAGCAGGGACTTATCTTCACGAAGCATTATTGAGTAAGCGTTTAGGTATTGTCAGACTCACCAGGAGTGCTACCAATTGCTTCGTGGTCGTTATCATCGGCGACCTAGAACGTTCCCGTCTTGTACATATTCTCTTCGACTAAGAAGACCTTAAAAGTAACCCCAGCAGAATTAGCTTACCATTTACCAAGTTAAACATTTAGATCAGTTTTAATTTACGTTTCATTTACGTCATCATACGTGCTAAGCATTTAGGTAAAGCTTTGTCTATCTCTGACAATAAGCTGATTGAGTGCCATCAGAAAATGGGTAGAGATGGCTACACCACAGAATCTCAAACAGAAGAAGAGCTTTTGAAGTGAAACTTTTGAGGAAAATATGGGATTTTTCGAAGCCTGTGTTATAAGATTGTGACGAGAACGTTGAAGATAATCGACATAAGTACAATATGAGTCAGCCAGCGAAATATCAAGCGAGAGAATGATGTTGAACAGAAAAGGACAAAAACACAAACGGCAAAGTCGATTAGATTTAAGCGTAGTCTCATAGCCATGCTTGTCGCGTGTATTCTGAAGCACTTGATTTTACGATATATTTACGAAAAAAACGACAGTGCTGTAAAATACTTCGGAAAATCTTCGTGAGTGTTTGACGCAGCGATCGGCCGCACACAGTAAGGGTACTCGATAACAACGGGAGACCCCATCGTCATGCTTCAATTACGGTCTGAATCGACAGAAGTAGGATTTAAATGGTTTTAACTTGCGTACGTTGAAGTCTGTGTGATATATATCGCTTCCTTGTCTCAAAAGAAGCTGTAGGTTGCACAGTGCATCTTACCATCGACACTCCCAAACGCGCTTTCAATAACAAAATTAGGTGTAGTAATTTGTATCGCAAGTACAAAGCTGATGTGTACTACCCCTTTTTTTATAAACAATAAAGAAAATATTAATGCATCACTATTTTGTCTAACATGGTTCAAAAGTTTTTCGATTCAATAAATAGCTTATAATAACTTGAAATGTTAATTATAATAATCGTTAGAATACTACATATGGCACAAATCGTGTTGGTGTTGTGTCATCTTATTTCAAGGTAGTTGGCGATTGCGCGAAGTGTATTTGCGCTTTAAATTTTTGTTATTTTCTCAATGAGTTGTATAATCTTTAAGAGGGTGACCCATCTTGACATATATTCTCATTTAATACACAAATCAGGCAGGAAAATTTTGCCTTTGCCAACAACGGCTGCATTGCGTCTGCTGGAACCTGTTCCGGAATATAGCGAAACTACCAAACTGAATTCTTATGCTTGTATTTTTTTCATTTGCTTCAAATGACTAGCCAATCCTCGGCTTAAAAGGCAAATAACCGTAATATACAGTGATATGATTTTAAAGCCATGTTTTTTTTTTTTTTTTTATAGTACCATGTATAGTATAGTATGGCAAACGAATATCTAGCACAAAAATACTGCTATTTCGAAGATTTGACGGGTCACACTCTGCCTTAGATGTATGCTCTGTATTCCAAGGATAGTGCGCTCTATATTTTACAAGGTGTTTTTTTTATGCTTACGCTATATTCTATTGTGCCAACATAGAGCTAATTAATTATAGTTTAAAAAATGCACTTATTTCTTCATAGATAGATCAGGCGGACCAATAGATCGAAATAAAAATATCTATCCATATCTAAATGGTAATAAACATATTTGTTAGGTAGAAACGTCGTAACTTCTCTGCTGTTTATAGTTGTTTGAACGCTTAATACTTAATAGACTATGTGTAGTCTTTTATCATTTAATCAGGTACACTTAAAATGCACTTTATTCATTTGTCATAATTACAATTAAGTAGTCTCCTATCATATGGTAGGAAAATGTATACATATTTGGACTGGAAGGTAAGTAGAAACCTTTCCATGCCTACTTTTCTTTATTCTCTTCTAATTAACGAGTAAATTTCTTCAATCTATATACTTAATAGTAAAAGGTCTAAACCCAACAAATGCATCATTGTCCTTTTACCGTACGAAGTTCTTCCAGTGGTTCTCTCACAATAATGATCTATGCCTTTCTCGACTTCATCTATTCATCGGCACGTCACTCGAAGATTTTTAAAATTTACCGAATGCGGTAAAGCAGACATTTACAACCTATACAACCTCCGCCAGTAAAGCAGCCTTTGGGAAGTCTGTGGCTTTAAAGGCCGTATTCTTTTTTTAACCGGCCCCTCGCATCAAGCTCCCATCCGCCGTCTGGCAGTTTTGGCCCGTTGCTTACGTCTATAGCCGTGGGCCATGAGTGAAGTCATCACATACTTCCTTTACGTGGTGGCCCATAGACATCTGCAGGAGCAGCCGTAAAAATCAGCGTCGACGCTACCAGCAACGGAAGGCGTCAAGAGGCCCCCGCCGGTCCGTTACCGTAGGGGCCGCTTAGCTTCGTCACGAGTCCACCCAACTCGGCTTTCCCTGTTCACTTTACCGCTATCTAACCTATCGTAGCTGCAACCGTGAGTCGAACGGCTGTATGGGTGTATAGCCGTTGCCCTGAGGCACTTCTTCAACTCATCGCAGTCGAGGCCAGCTTCGCCTAGCGGTGGCCGAGAATTGGAAGAAAAGCATTTCGTTTTTTCGTTCAGAGATGACAAGCTACTTGCCATAAGTGCCTTCTTGCAGTCGCGTTGCACTCGGGAGAACTTTATCAACGCAGCATAGACATCGTTCTGAAGAAATAGTACCTAACCGTGGGGCTACACTGGCTACAAAATGAAGGCATCTCCCCAGAGATTTTTCTGTCTGTCATTGGTTGTTGCGGCCTACACCACCTTTTGACCTACTGCCTGCTATCGGATCGCAAGGAATCAAATAATCTAGAACGAACATCATCCAGTGATCATCGTAACATCGCTATTACCTCGTGGCAAAAAAAAGCGGAAACATTGAGAAGTTCATTAAAATAATTTCGGAAATAAATGGAACCATTGAGGCACTATTATATTATTACTATGCTATATTACTGTTTGATCGTTGTTACTAGCACCATGGATACATAGTGCGCAAGCTTTATAAGTGTTATTTTATGTTACTATAATATTTTCAGGTGAGGCAGTCGACACGACAAATGATAATGCTTGAGCGACATTTAATGCGAAATATCGTTTGCTTTTAAACAATGTCCTATAGGATTGCTTTTTACCTGTGCTTCAGTCGTCTGTTTAATCTTTACCTTTCCCAAATGAGGTTTGTTTACAAAAGAAAAATAGTGTGGTTAGCTAATCGTGTTATATATATATATATATATATATCAGCTCATGTTATTGTTTACTGCAGCAATTTAAGCCGTTCATAGGAGATAACCATCAAATTGTGATAAACGGCTTCGGTTAAGGATAATGACCAATTATTACAATGATCACAGATCTGCAGAGGGAAAGGACACGTTTCATAATGTCTTACCTAATTAAGATAACATCAGTAGAATAAATGCTTAACGACGAGCAGCTCCGCGAACATCTTTTATTTCATCGTACATGCTTCTGATGTATGTGTTGCCGAGAATGGCTGCAGTATGCCACTCGATGACTGGTTAATTTGAAATACTTGTTTAATGATAGCTTTCGGAGACAGTACGCTGACCCATTATCAGGTTACAGAACTCAGATGAATTTATTAGTTGGAAATTGCATGCGCAGCGAACAGGGCTATCGATCATAGAAGAGAGCACTGTATCGAAAGCACTCACGTCGGCATGATCTGGATATTAATGCGTACTGCTGACGAACTTCTGCTTCTGCTATGCACGCTTTGAAAATTTTCTAGTACGCAATCTACTTCGATCGTTACTAAATTGAGACGGTGGTTCTGCATAGTACGTGGCAAAAAGGATCCGCAGGAACCAAATGTACGCAAGAACCGTAGCAAGCAGTTGTTCGAATAACGTAATTACGTAGTCGAGCCATTTCTATCGAAGTAATTCGCTCTCGCAGAATTTCGACAAGGGACAAGTACTGTCATCGTTTTCTAGCATATCATTTTCTACACATCCACTTTCTCGGTCTATAGGCGCATGCTTGTCTGGAGTACGTATCTCGTCAAGCAATCCGAGCTGGCTACTATAAGCGTTTCTAACAAATATTGATACTGTAAGACAATCTCGCAGCCAAACTACAGATTTTACTAGAACATATAAAACACAAACGTCGACTTCCCCAGCACTTTCGCTATGTATTATAAATAATGCTGATCTACTGGCCAGCTTGTTTTGCTTCTGTTTCTGCAGCAAATTGTTGAGTAGAGTGAAGTGAAGTGAAGTGAAGGGGCTGTAAAAGGCTGGCTATGTGGGTCCCTTCAAGTTGTTTTCTCAAGGGTAACAGCAATTACCGCGTCGTTACTCGTCGGCCTGCCTTCGTCTCCCAGCCATCGCCTCCGTCTAATTAACTCTCCATCGTCGTACCCATAGGATGTGGCACACACAGATATATAGATAGTCATTGGCTGCCCTTTCATAGGCGACGTCCTTTCACTTAGATTATTTTCCTGCCTGTACACTCGAGCACAAATTCCTTTCACCATACCATCACCCCCAATCTACCCATATTCTTTGCCTCATTCAAGTTCGGTTTACGCAGTCGCCCTGGCCGAACACTTATTCTTCTTTAGCTTCGTCCATTGTATGCGACCAGTGGTGTGAAAATTTGAAATTTTCGAGAGCCGACGCCACTGCTGAAGGCGCCCAAGGATACTGCTAGTACTATTACTAAATAGAGGAAAGTCTGCTTAGATATATGTTTACTGATTGCTGAACGCTAAGCTTGTCGATAATCAAAAGAAGCTGCAAGCATGCACACGTGGTCCAGTCTCAAAAGAAGTACCGAAAGAAATCAACCGACCAACGTCGATACTTTCGTTGACGCTGGCTACAGAAAGAACGCCGAGAATTGCGATGGCCTAGGAAGAGCCTTTTATGTCTATTAAGCTTCGGTGTACAGGGTCGAGCTAACAACTTTCCAGTTTTCCTTGCTCGGCATCGCAGTTTCGCGTCTCATGACAGGGTGTGATTTACTGGTCCTGTCAAGCCTTCGAGGTGTGAACGGAAAAAGCCGTGAGGGATGTATGTGCAAAGATGCAGCGTCTTGCTATATCTTCTACTATAGGGTAAAGTAAGATGGTAGCGAATCTCCTTTTCCTGTAAGTCTGTTCAAGGCCTCCATAGACATGAGGGATAATGTAATCTATCACAGCATGGAATTATACCGATTTTTAACGATGCTTTAGATGAACTATCGGAAAATCTAAATTTCGTAAGGGGTGCGGTCCTTTTGTTTATACTAGGTACAAACAGGGCATAATGATTAACTTTTAATATAGGTGGAAATCTTGTTTTTCAGACATATGCCCAGAAAGGTAAACTGTTTTTCGCGTGTAGCTACCTGACAATATTAATCCTGTTACACTACCTAGAAATAGCACCAATATGATTCAAAGCTACATCCTACTATGTGTCCTACAATCAAAGGTTGATACAAGCTAGGCAATGCTCAAAAGTTAATAAGTTCGAAAACGGGATTTGAAATCTAGGAGATTCACTTCGACCATGTCGATCATTCGAGATACACGAGGACTGCCTAAGGCACTTTTGAAGTATGGCCAGCAAATAACTGGTGAACTATTCAAGAAGATAAAAACGGATGCAATTACTATCAGCCACCTTCACTTGATAGGGCTCACTCAAAAATTAGTAACATGGATTCCCCATAAACAGACAAGGGTACGAAGAGTCACGGTTTCTCATAGCCTTCCAATATCTCACAGCATGCCAATTTAGGCCAAAGAAAGGAACAGCTGGCTTCAGGAAATACGTCGGAGACCAGACGCAGTGAGATTTTTATTAGAAAAGAAACGCATGAGAGGAGCTAGAACGCTTTTATGTGCATGGAAATGTTTGAGAAAAGACAGTGAACAACGATTTCTATGTGGTCCAGTACCATTAGGTAAACAAAGTTATCAAGCATAAGAGACCCGATAGACAACGTAATTTTTCTGCACGAGAATGCCAGATTACAATGGCGAGACTCGTTACAGGCGTCTTGTAGGAATTTAAATAGAAGGTTCTTTTGTCGCTGACCCTTTGTTGACACTGTGCGCGTGCCGACCTATCTTCACTACTTTTCCGATCACTATCAAACGAAGTTTGTAACGATGAATTTTCCAACGATGAGGGTCTCGAAAGCTAGGTTTCGACACGTTTTCGACACCAGATCAGAGGATATATAGGATGCTTGTGATGTGAAAAAGTGATAGTGAATATATAATACACCAAACTGTTAATAGAATTTCACTGAAATGCTTTGTTTTTTTACTTGTGAAGCTACGTCTACTATCTGATCAACTTACTCTTTACTCTTACTGTTAGTCCAGCCCCGGTATAATTCAAAACAATAATTTCCTGTTATAATATTGCTAAAATGATAAAAAATATTTTTTATTTTCCTATTATATATATATATATAATAGGAAAACAAAAAAAATATATATATATACAACATTATCATTATAAAAAAATATATTTTTTTATAATTTTATAATTTATAATAACTCGAAAATGTTGTATATATTTTTTTATATACAACATATCTTATATACATATATAAGAACATAAAATATAAAAAAAACACATACAACATTTTCGAGTTCTACTGCTCGGAATAGTGCTCCAAAATATTGAATGTTTGGGGATCCTAACATAAAAATTAGAGCCGGTCACGACATGCCACGATTTTGCGGTGTGTTTCTTTCGCGGTTCATTAAGCTGATTATTATCATTATGATAATTGTTCCTCGTCGACTTCGTCGCGTACCGACTCTGCTTTCGTCACGACCCCTTCCCCTTCTCCTGTGACCCACTACGTCCCTTAACATTTCCATGCGGCACTAAGCTTCGTATATGCTATCGAATTTTACATTCCCATGGCAAGCAATCTTCTTGTATATCTTATTGATTTGTCAGCCAAATGAGGGGCATATGTACGATTACAGAGTGTAGGGCTATGAGGTGCACACGGGCCGGAGAGTAACGGGTAACTTCCGTACTTTTCTCGACTTTATCTCTAGGTAGGCAGGTTTTAATTGTTGTAGAAAATTCTGTCAACAAATGTTTGCGCTCATTCTTAAGGGTACGTTCCGATTGAATGGTGATACGATCAAAAACTATTAGCAAAGTTGAGAATGACTCAGTAAAAACGCACGAAATTGTCTAAAATGTACCAAAAGTTACAGCTTTCTATCGATGATTCTATAGATGATTTTAGACGTTATGAACACATACATTTGTTTGCTGAACTAGAGCAAGTAAAAAAGAAAGTTGTTCTAGACGGCATTAATGGTTATCATTAATACTATGACTTCTGCTGGATATATGTGTGGAAACTTTACACATGCGCAGGTTCGGACATCAGTTGAAGTTCTGGTTCGGAGAAGCCCCCAAAGCACTGAAAAAAATAGTTGGCTACTGTTATTGACATTCGGAAATTACGTTTCGAAATTACCGAATGTCAATAATAGTAGCCAACCGATTTTTTACAAATATATATATATATATATATAATTAGTATTAAGTTACCGAGATGGCGTTACCTTCCAGAGAGATAGTGCATCACTTGAACCCAGTTCAACTTATTCAAATTCAAGTTGAACTGCCTTCAAGTGATGTATAGACTTGAAAGATGAGAAATTATTATGCAAGTGTGAACCCTAACGAATTTCAAAATGCTAAAAGGGAGCCCGAGGGATAGAGTATCTCGGGAATAAACCGAAAATACCATTGTGCTCGTATATTTATCATGCTCTACTAACTAAAATTGCTTACGGAAGACGGGTTATACGAAACACGTGGTAATAAATTTGCTTAGCTGTGAAAAGAATAAGCCTAATGTTGCTGGGCTTACACACATGAAGTTATAACCCCTGCCACAGACGGGCTGAAAATCAGCAATGGCAGCCTATGAAGTTAATTGCTTTCGCTATACATGTCATGACGGCTATGTTATTTTCCTTAATAAAAGTTTAAGGCTGTTAGTTTCAGATAATTTGCTAATCTCACCGAATGTAAGTATCACGTGTAGGACTTACTTGATTTGGCGGTAAAATTTAAAAAGTTGCTAGCATCAAATGAATCGGAACGCACCCCATCCTAGGAGGGTTGGATAGCTTGTTTTTTTTTGAGACACCTAATCTTGGCTCTGTAGTGGTAGCAGCACTAGCAATTCAAGGGGAAGCATCAAATCTAATCGGGTATCAAGTCTTGTACAAGCGCTATGCTGCTAGTACTGTTCTTGCTACTACCGCCGCCCGCTCAAAATTGAATTCATTCCGAATTCAAGTCTGGAGCGGTACCTATGCGCGCAACCGGTCGAGCCAATATACGTAACTCTTTGCCAATGATGCCAGCACGGATCGCGTAGCCGCAGTCGTTATGGGGTGGGTATGCCAGTGAAGATGTGATATGAAGTTGCGAGTTTACCAGTTTACCCAAAGCCAGAAGCTGGCGTTTATAGAAACCTCCGGCTTCCTTTCCAGCCACTGTGATAGATTTAAGGGCGGTGCCCATCGTGTGAATATAGCTGTGTATGTACAGAGAATGACTTAGAAAAGAGCATACATATCTCGTCCACACAGGATTGGACAGGCGTCTGTCAAAAGGCGATGACGATATTCATTGCTTCAGAGGGCTATATGTCTACCGCGCCATCTTTATCTGCTGTTACTTCGAAATCGATGTTGGTAAATCGAAACTTTCAAGTACCCTGCAATTCGACTCGATGAGAAGAGGAACTGCCACTATATGTGACTGCAATGCGAGGTGTAAGCTGATAATAGTTTTATCAACTCACCCCATTATATTGTAGTAATGGTATTTTTTCAATGTCAATGGCCATATCGAGCTCACTTCTTCTTGAGGCGGTCCGACACAGCAGCTCAAAAATGACTTGAGTACATTACCCAATGTGAAATTACTGGAATGTTGTTGTAAAAAATATACTCGGCCCAGTTTTCTAGAAGCTTCGTTTTCTGGAATACGTTTCCAACTAAAAGTATTGTCTTGTACCACTTGTAACTAATGGGGTCAATTTCATTATCGTTACCGTAACTATGAACTTGCAGATGAATGGTCCTTCAGTGTATTTGAAAAAAATTAATGCAAACAATGATTTCGTTTATATAGATTAGGTGAAAAAAATGCATGTTTATTGTATATAGTTAGCCCCTATGATTATATGATAGTCTATGACGCTAAACTTCGATATTATTACATCATCATCGATCAGACTCCTTTCCCTAAACACTCAAAATTGAAAAAACGACCCATTAACCAGAAGAACTTAACAGGCTAAAAGCTTTTCATCTTACAACGGTACAGACGGTGTAACCGCACGCACATAAATATGTAACATTACATACCTAAATAATTGCGTAAATAATCCAGATAGGCCAGACACCTGAATCCCGCGATTTTGCCTGATTATAGGCGAAGTACAGAATGAAATTAATATCAACTTTGAACAAATCTGGGCACACTGCACGCGCTCAGATGTTACGACACGGATAAAATAGATGCTGTCGTTGGTGGTAGTTTTTTGTCGTTTTTCATTACCTCTTCGGATGTGTTAGGTCAGCCATCCACTCCACTTATCACATCGCGTCGTTGCTGCTTAGCTGATGGCTTGCTTTGTTCGCCGATTAGCGGGAAGTTCATAGCCTGACGCTAAGTAGGACCGTACATTAGCTCGTCGGTATTGCGGTACTATTGCGATCGGCGTGTTCACGGGCACGGCTTGCGATGCAGTCTCACTCACCATCAAGGTAGTCCGACTCTCGCACCTGCGCTACACAGTGGACTTTTCCTGTTAGATTGCGTGGAGCACGCACGACCGCTTCCAAATGGAGTACATTAACGTTAAACTAGTCGAGCCCATTAGGCTGATTTATCCGTTGAGGTCCTATTACGACCAGTTAGCTGGCAGGCGGGCGGGCGAACTGGCTGGATGGTCGGTGGTCTGCGTTGATGTTGATTTTGTAGCAGTAACAGAAGCAGGCAGCACGCCACTGCGGCGACTAGTGCGAAGTCGCTGCTGGAGTTGTTGACTGTTCAGAGACCACACGTAATTTCTCTACCGAGTTCCTGCGTTTTTGGATCAATTACAGCATTGAGGCGCGCTTTCACACATGAAGGTGCATGTAGACAGTGGTAATGCGGGATGCATGGCTGCAGATCAGCCCGACTTATACAGATACCGTGCATTTTGCTTTGAAGTCTCTTTACACAAAGCTCTTGTCCTGATACTAATAATAACAGGACGACAACGATCCCAAATCGTTGTTACAGGTATGGTCTTAGCTTAGTGAATCCGAGTGATTTTGCCAAGTTGATTTGCCAATTTCACTTTTTCAAGGTTCATTGATCTGTATATTTGCGTCGAGGTCATAATACGCTGCCCTGAAGGCAGCTCATTGTGGGAAAGGATGTCTGGTATTTTTATTCAGAATTTGGCGTGTCTGCATGTAACTGAAGATATTGTTAGATCGCTCTCTGGCAAACTTATAAATACAAAGATATTACGGTAATTCAGGCTACATCACAGATCCGAAACGTCTTAGAATGTAAATTTTGTATTTCGTTGTATTGACGGATGATCTTTGCGAGATGCTACTGTTAGCGGCGATTCTATATTCTTAATAGTGCCAGGTGAGCTAATGAACACAGTAGAATGCTACAGTGACCTAGTGGGAATGTTCCAAAGTTAATCCGAATTTCACGTACTCAACGTCAAAGTCTGGTTAATTTTCCAGTGACATTTTGCTCACTTCTCATTAGTGGAGGGTGATTCATCCATTAGCTACTAGAATATTAATAAAGGTTTGTAACAGACGGATATGCAATTAAATGTTTCGTGAACGAATAGAAAATGGTTATATCAGCCGCTAGAATTTGTTAGATTGAATCTATCCTATAGCATCTGTGAACATTTCGGGAAATCTCAAGTTACGTTCCTGTGAAATAAGTTTCATCAACATCCGAAAAAATAATTGTATATCTATCACTAAAACTTAGGCTCAGTTTACCTGTACTGGTTAGTTGCAATGAAATTTACTGTGCCCTAATACACTCCTCATCCGTGAACAAAATCACCCGCTGATGGCAAAAGGCCATTGTTAGAGGGGGCTGAAGTTTCTCTGGTTGCTTCAATCAAATCTATGGAATCTATCCAATTTATTTACGAATAAGATTTTACCACATCGAAAGAATATATGAAACTGACCTGTGTACGAAATTCCCCATCTGGAATCAATAATCCTTTTCTTCGGTTGAAACGGAATTTATCCCGTAAAAACTATGCATTACATGTGTAATAAATCTCCTAGAATGCTACGGGTTCCTACCATGTAAATATTTTCTTAAATTTTTTTCATATAAAAAATCAGGACATCTAGAATTTAATATTAAGGTAATTAACCTAAGTGATAAATTTTTTAATTGTCGTTGCTTATCTATGTCAATACAGAGGCGGAAAAATATGTACTTTATTAAAGTGTACTTTATTATTAGTTCTATCGACTGCTAATAGCTCAATGTTTATAATTATGGTCTTAAATAGAAAAGAGGGGCTTGTAGTGGGTTACACTCTCGTTCAAGTGCTTCAAAGTCGATATCAGTGTTTGATCTATGTGGTCTAAACCATATTGAACCTAGATACTGTTCTTATGACGCTAAACAAATATCCAAAATGCTTGACACGATAGTGGCCATGTTCCTTCTGTAAATTTATTTGTCGAAAAATCTAGTACTCCTTGCAGTAATTACTAAAATATCTCTCTCGCTCTGCGAACTAAAGACATACATATCTGGTTTATGGTTTTTGCCAGGATTAAGTCTGATACGTCTTTTTAGAAGTGTCGTAAGTAAAATTAATTTTCAGCCATTTCCGGTTCGATAGAAGCTACATGTGTGTAAATGGCACGAGGTTATGGTTTTCTTATATTGCACTATGGTGCATTTGACGGTGTTGTATTATCTGCAGTGGCTTTATTTCGAGGTGCCAGGTTGACCTTTACTCAGATGCCACTATTTGTACTTTTGTGGTCGAGCACAACGATTAGTATTTCTCAACTATTAACATGTACAATTTAGACGTAGGGAACAAACAATAAACGTTTTTTTCACATCTGTCCACCCACTAAACTCGTTGCTTATTTCGTTACCAATTATACTTAATCAATACAACATTTTCATTTGTGCTGAAAACCAGCCACAGCTAGCATAAAGAATCATGAAAGTAATGAACGAGAGGTTATACATCAGTGCACATTCAAGTTCCGACCCTCCTTATGGAAGAAGTAAAGCATAATTACGGAACACTCCGACGAATTTCGATCCGAACCGATTGCTATTCTTCACAGTAGGGCTAGATACTTCGAACTGACAAATTGTAGAGGCCGGAATTCCATGAGATGCCATCGGACTGAATACTCGTTCCTTTTCTTTAGGTCCCAGTAGTTGCGGGACCACAAAGGTGCCAATAATCGGCGGCTGTTATTCGTCAGAATTTGGAAGGAACACTCTCAGGTAAACACCGCACTATCTTTTTTAAAAGCTCAGGCCTTTTAGCGTCGATAAAGCCTAACCCAAAAAGCAGTGATCAGTTATATGTATAATAAGTAGGGGCTGAAATGAAATCTCTGCTGATCAAAAGTAATTGCACAGGGAACGGATATTAGGAACCCAAATAATTTTAAAATATTACTGAGTTTCAGGTTGGAATCGAGCCCGAGACTTCACAATGGTAAAATCCGACGTCCTGTCCGCACCAACCACCGCGGTAGCCAATTAATTGACGACTTTATAGAGCCACATATTTGTCGGAATATATTCCGGGTTTAAAAAATAGGAAGCGAGTTCTTCTGACCAGTAAAAATATCTTTGAACACGCCTTTACATCTAGCAAACTCGGGATGGGTCTCCGGCGGCTACAGGCAAGGTGCCTATAGAGCCTTAGCAAGACTAAGAGATGGCAAAGGGAAATGAACAAGAATAGATTTAGCATAAAAAAATAGGTCTGATTTCTTAACGGTATTGTTACTGCGGTGATGTAATAATTTATTGTGTGGATTCGCATACCATCTATAAGTTGAAATTATGAAGACTAACTTAGTTCGTAGGCTTTTAGAATCTGACCATAAGTAGCTTTAGAGAATTTACTCTGTGCTTACTTGAAAAACCAATTTACAAAGATAATACTTTGGTTACAGCTAAAGGTAGCTAACACGAACCCTAAACATAGTACTTCGGATAGCAAAAACATAATTTTCAGCGCCTGCTTTATTTTTTTACCTTTTTGAATGTTGATGTCTGCAGAAGCAACCCAAGGTATTTAATTGAGTACGATAATAACTAAAGTGATACAGGCTTCTGTAATATTTGTACTTCCTTAAAACTAGGTCAAGGCGATCCTCGGCGAATTGAAAAATCGATGGATTGCGCCCTTTAGGTTGAAGATATCATTGTTGAACCTATTAAGCCAGCTATTGAGCCGCATCTGTCCTGCATCGTAAAATACGAATAGGAAATTAGTAGTCTGTGGCCAAACACTCCTATAACTGTACATTGAACCGAACGTTAAATTTTGTAAATCTAACGAGATGACAGCAGAGTGGCAGAACCACACGGAGTACGCTCTACCGCCGGCAAAACGGAAAATTAGAAAAAGAATCAATAAACAGAATGAATATCATTGCTTATGCACCAACTTAGTACAATGCTTATTGTATTTTATCTGGAATGACAAAGAAGTAATTGTACATCATTACTATATTTATTTAAATGTCTCGCGCTCCGTCCGCGTACGTCTAGCATAGACGCTAACTCTCTTAGGTCAGTGTCATGTTCCATACTATTTCAGGTACATTTACACTTAATAACTTGAAACAACGAAGATGTCAAACACTCTGAAAGCCCCGGAATTTGCGTGACTACATTAGACGAATGGCAAGCGGGTAACTAAACCTATTGCCAAGCATATTATGGGAATAGCGTTTATCGGCCCGGATGGTATACCCCTAGTGCTAATACCAACTCACCGCCTCGAACCTACATCACCTGACTGTTTTAGCATATACAATACCAGTCCATATCAAGATCTTAGCCAGATTCCGTTGTTGAGAGCACTAGAACCTGATATAGATACGATGCCTACGTGGAGTGCACCTGATCAACTGCAAGGAACCCAAGCGAGGCCTGTGAGACCGCCTGGTAAGGAGTCAGTTGCACAAAGCGCCGTTCCACAAAGGGAGTCAGTATCTCCTACAAGTATAACGCCTTCATGGAGCGCACCTTATCAACCACATGGAACCAATCCGAGAAATGTAGCGCCTGAAAGAAGCTTAGTTCCACAATGGGACAGTTCACAAAGGGAGAACTTTGAGAATTACAACTGGAGAGCTTACCGTGGATGCTTATTGCGCGACAGAGACCTCAATAGAGGTATGATTCTTATGGAATACCCTCCCTATTACCAACGCAGAGCTTTCCACGATACTCCTCGACTTCCTTACGGCAATGTTATCTCTTCTACAACCACAACCACGTGTGAATCTACTGTCAGATGTTGTGGTGCAGCCCCCAATTATGGTTTGGTCCCGGTTGGTGGGGTGACCCCATGTACTGGCATGAACCCTTATACTGGCGTAGTTCCGTGTACCGGAATGGTCCCATGTACCGGAGCACGTCCGTACACTGCGGCGGTACCCCCTACCGAATTGGTACCTTACACAAGCACAACCTCGTACACCGGAATAGCCCCTTACACTGACATGGCTTCCTTTTCTGGGATGGTTCCTTATACTGGGATGGTTCCTTATACTGGGATGGTTCCTTATACTGGGATGGTTCCTTATACTGGGATGGTTCCTCATACTGGGATGGTTCCTCATACTGGGATGGTTCCTAACACGGGACCGGTTACTAACACGGGACCGGTTCCATACACTAACATAAGACCCCCCAACAACCACGTGCACACAGTCCGACATACGGACGTAACAACACGAAGCAATTTTATTCCATCTGGAGGAGGCTCCTCAACAAATGGCGCTTCGAGGTCCGGGCTTCGATACATGCTTGATTCCCTAAATTACAACGGTGCACACCAGCAGTGTCCTCAGGGACGTTTAGGATATTGTGGTTCTTCTGCAGTTCCTAATTTGTCAGTTGCTTCTGATACGATTCGAACACGTAACTGGATTTTTCCATACCGCGACCTTGATTCGCTTGAAGCTCTGGAAACAATGGTAGCCGGATTATTGGTACCTGTGATTACAAGGCGAATCATACTATCTCTTACAAATGCATTCTCCAGGCGTGGGCTGTCTGCAACTGATTGCGGTCTCTCCGATGCCGATGTGCACGACATTAACGCTTCCGAGTCGAGAGCGCACAACGAGAGTTATCAGCAACTGCCAAGATCCAATCGTTCGGTTTGCCATAAAAAATTACGCTGTCGACACCTTAATCCAAACGTTTGAAACACTAGCTTTGAAGGGTTGGCGATTGTGCAATGAAGATTCGTATTAGCTTCAGCCACCGACAGCGTTAACAACTGTAATTAACGCTCTGCCAATACAAAGAACGTATTAACCGGTGTACTAAATCCTTCATTTTTCAATGGTACCTGAATTACTACTACGGACGAAAAAAAAAGTAAATACCAGTCATGTGATAGAGACATGAAGTCGAGAGGTGCATTTCGCAGATGGCATAGCGTCAACCCAACATGGATAACTAGTTTACGACCGTTATGTCAGTGGCGCATGCTGCGACTAGTTTGACCATAATTGAAGAGGTTGTCCGGTATTTATAACGGTAACCGTGATACGAAAGGGCTATTTGAGATAGAATTTTTGGCTTGTTTTGTTTAAGGATAACTTATTTTTTCCGAGCGATAATTGCTTGATGGCTGAAAATACAAGTTCCGATCGGCACTATATTATGTGATTTCCGGCATGATGATTTCAATCGATTATTGCGACGGGGTCAGTTAGCTTCAATTAGGAGTGAAGTATACTGACGAATCCTGATTAATTGGCTCAGGATTCATATAGGAACGTATCGAGCGTACGTTACAGCAATAAAGTTCACATAATAACAACATCAATGAAATGCCAATACTGACTCAGTCCTTCTAAACTCGTGCAGCTGATGGAAGTTAGTAAGGTAACCTTATAATCTTACGAACTTACGAATCCGTCTGCTCAAACTGGGATCAGATAAAAACGGATCACTGGCCTAGATTACCAGCCGCCTAGTATCTTCTCTTATAATCTCGTAGTATTAAATTATACATTAGTAGTTATATATATATAAGAATATATGTATATATATATATATATATATATATATATACATATATATAAGAACAATATGGCTTTTTGACGAACCGAATCGTACTGGCACCTTTCAAATTTTGGTGGTATAAATTATAAATGCTGGGAGAATGCTTGAAGGTTAAAAATTTAATTTTTTATTTAACCTACGTAAATATGGACTGCGAAGATAAGCAGGACATACTGTTCTATTTAGCGTAACTAAAGCATAATATGGGTAAAAATTTTCGATTGTGACTACCAGCTTACGATGACCAAATATTTTTGGATGAAGATGGCAGGGGGTTAGAAGGAAAGTCCTGCAAACTGGCAAGCAAGGTTGTAACATTCATGCAATCCGTTCGTTTGTTTTTCCCAAAGAAATCTATCTATAGCATGATTAGCCGACATTTTCTTTATAGCAAAAATTACGCATAACGGTAAGAGTGCCATTTTAGTATATTTTCTGTACTTAACCTCTTTGCTAAAAACCCTCTGTCCGCAATAGACTAGGGTTGTTGCGCATATACTTAGATATAGATGGCTTTTAAAATAGAGTATGTGATATCTAAATGATTAACTAGTCTCTTTTGAACACGGTGCAACGTAAACGGCTATTATCTTACCACACCAGGCTCAAAGCTACGTATTACCAACAAGCGAAGGTCACTGAGGGCGGAATTACACACGAATACGGTCTGATAATTTAAGAGTAATTTGGAAGTGATAATATATTGCGTATAGTCGTAACGCGTTGTAAATTCTGTGCAAACTAGGAATTTCTATGGAATTATTAGTGATGAACGCAACAGGACTTTTAGTTAGTCTATTATTACGTGGCCTACACATAATAGAAAATAATGAAGCACATTAAAAAGACATTAGATACTATAATTTTCTGAAGTAACACGTAGCCTTTTTCGGCAGCAAAAATACGAAATTATTAATATCAAAAGATACAGCCATCAATATCAGCTATGAATCGCCTCTCCGTAGGATACAAGAATTACGTCAAGATGCCATTTTACTTTCAATTGTAAGTATCCTTTTTGACCTTCTTCCACATAGCATTCAGTAGAACATAAAGATTGGTGAATAACTATATTATTCTTGTTACGTGGTTTACAGGTGTGGCATTGCCCAAGGTAGTGACGCCAATAAACTTGTGATGTATCAAAGGAGCGCTGGGGGTGCTAGTGCGGCTGGAGATGGCAGATAATTTAACGTGGGGGTCCGAGAAGCAGGTGGAGGCCGCATTGTAGACGAGACAGGTGGAAATTGTGAGGCGGCTGTGGGTTCGGACAAAGCCTAAGAGGGAACATCAGGCAATGACGGAGGAGAGGCTCACAGATTTAGAATCGCAGAAATGGAGGAGAATTAAAGGAGTTCAACATAAGAGGTGAGCGAGGTCCTGAGGGTTGGATTATTGGAGCAAGAGGAGGTGGATTTAGGTGGGCAAACGAAGGTAAAACCTGAACAAAAGTTGTGGGTAAAGGCGGTGACGGTATTTCAGATAGTGGAAGTACTGGATGCTCCAACACGGCAAGGTGGGAGAGACAGAAGCACAAGGGTGCGAGGGATATCCTCTTATCTTATTACTACAAGTGGGACACCTTTACTGACTTCTCAGATTATTCAACAGCTAATGATAGTAACTACGCGATGGCTTCGGGCCATGATTACTAAGTTAATTACTAATATAAAGTTATTTTTGACTTTTTTAATACGTATCACTAGCCAACTATTTTAGTGTAGACGTTAGTTTTTTTAGCAGTAGCCCGTACAAGTACATAATAATCTAAGTAAATATCGGTGTTAACAAGTTACGACAAGTTAAAAAAATAGCTATGTAAAGAATGATCGTTGAAGCTCCGAACTCAATCGATTCGGAGAAAGTCTGATGTGTTTTTTACATAACTGATGCTCCATCCGCAGTGCCCTTCTCGTATTTTCGAACCTAGCAGATAGGAGGTTCAAGCAGATATAATATATATTAATTCTGTCTAACAATACGAACAAAAACTAACCGGTGTTGACCTATTTTTGATAACATCTTCGCATGCTGTTTTTGCCGCTACGAGAAAATAGAAAAGACGCCCGTTATCCATTGGATAGTTGGGCATTCTACTGGCGGTATTTCTATAGAATGTTTCCTTGCGAATTTAGTATACATTATGCGAAGGTATTCAATCTAACGTCAATCTTCTTAAATAAAAACTGATATCGAGGAGCATTATTGAAATGGCAGCATGTTCCCACTTATATAAAACTAGAATCTCTTAGCATCTGCCAAAGTCTATTGAATTACCTATACAATTTTATCATCAGCAATCACTGCTCTCAAAGGTTTTTCATTTTAGTAAAACGCAGTGTTCACAGACCCGATCCACAAATGTGCTAAACGATCACGTTACTCTGTCTTATTTCTTAAGTCGTTTGTCGCAGTAGCTTTTCTCTACGAATCTCAAATCCGACCAGCGATCTTAAACAGAGCTCATGTCTTTTGTCTATTTACCGTCAGAACTTGACAGTAAACTGTACGATAATTTGTTCTGAACTTAGTAAGTGTCCGCAAGTTCCAATCTTCATACAAACAACATTCCATGTAATACTGAGCCTGTCTACATTATTTGTAGAAATTACAGCGTCAACACATAGGCCAACGACGACAATTGAGGACTTGAAGAAATTCTTTAGCTCGCTGCGAATAAAAGCAATTCGGAAGACGGTGACCGGTCTAGTAGCAGCAACGTTTTCGACGCGAACCAAAAGTAAACAACAACAACAACAACAACGTAAGCAGCGTAACATACAACCACAAAAGCTTTTGCAGGAGCGACGAGGAATAAACCAGAAAGACAAGCACGGAGGCCACTATGACGTCGGTTACGATGGTGACAATGGCCATACCACCAAAAGCACCAATAACAACGCTCGATCTAATCGAGCTTGTTTGCAAAACACGCCTGCCATTTCACGCTCGAGGGCCTGACAACAGAAATGCCAGCGCACACAGCAAACATGTCTTCGCAAGACCAGAAAAACGCCTCAAATGATCGCACATTTTTAAGCTGTTACGTAAAGCCGGTATGTTTATTGTATCGTCATTGTCTAACGAGTATTTTCTGTAGTTCTTCGATAGGGGGCACATATGAAATATTGTAAAACCGATCTATTTTGGCATGTTTCACTGCCATCGATTAAGCAGAGAATGAACCCACTTTAATTGGAATGTTTAGTCTGACGAGTGAACATCGAGGATAAATCGTGTTTTTTTAATTTATAGACTTTCTCATCATGGATTATTAAGGATTTAATAACTGCTAATTGGAAGAGTAGAATTGGGCAAATAGTATATGTAATAATGACTTCCATTCCAGTTGTCTAATGATGTCTTCAGTTATTTTCATCCAGTAAGCGTCCGATAAGGTTGTTCTGCTGAAGGGTAACGCCTTTCTTTTGTTGAGAAAATGCTAAGATATCTCTTGTCCACCTACTCAGATTAAAAAAAAAAGTCTTCCTTTTTGATAAAATCGTCAAGTTTCAAAAAGTCATGGTAAACGATGCTTTCTATGGCCTACAGCTCTGCTCCTGAAAGCAGTGCGAATTTCTGCGGAAGTACTCGCCGCTGTATTACTTGAGTCTGAAAGTGAAGCATGATAGGAATTTGCTAATGAAGCTTATATTGAAAGGGGGTCTGCTTCAAATATACTAAATTGAATGGCTTTCATTGTAATTTAATTTACGGAAGATTCAATCACAATAAGTCAGCTTTTTTTCGGACAACTAAACGATTCCCGTTTACTGCAACATTTGAAGGAAAAGTCATCAAAGGTTTTTTGCGTTACCTATACGTCAAACCTATACGTGATTCCTAGCTTTGTAATCGATTGGCAAAAGCGTTATAGAGTCGTTTTGCTTGCCCTGCGCTTCTAAACAATAAACGTGTATTTTTTTCGCAAATCATATTTTCCATCATCTATTAAAATATGTATGTGTATGTCATATGACAGTAGTGTAAACAGAAAATAATATTAAGTAAACTATTATGGCGGTGATAATGGCATATCAGTATCTAGCGTATCTTGTGGATTTTACTGGATGGGGAACCAAGCCCCTTAACATACGAGGAGTTTGTTTAATTTGATATATGTTAGGCATATATCGCTGAACGCAAATTGCGGCGTTGCGTAATCATCAACGTAATTCCAGACAGTTGGAATCTACCGTAGCAGAAACTCTTCATGAATCTTACAGGCTACTGGCGGATTCTACCTTATGGACCCCCATTCTCATATGCTGCTAGATAAGCACTGACCGAAAATGTGTTCCAGCTGTGACCCTTCATTTCCTTAAATTTGTTTACAATCTGCTTCCGTTGTGGCGTTGAATCTAAAATATGCTAAAGCTCCTTTGCAATGTTCTTCGGTAACGAGCGCCATCTGGTTCATACAAAGAGATAAAGTTTTTTGAAAAGACTTTATACCGAACAACAGCTAAACATCTACTCTTACTGGAAACTTTTAGATCAATTTTATACTTTTGCAGAATTCGTAACATGTAATTTTCATTTGGTTTCTCTGAAGAAGGTAAATGTTTATCGTTCTGCAGAAGACATCGCTGCTGGACCATGTTTAAATACTAGTTCAATAGGTGTACAGAAATGGTTTTGTGTTTATATAATTTTGGAGCTGAATATTCCATACTCTCACAGCCCCCATACGTATTTGTTTATTGTGTATTGCAAAATGGCCCGAAACCTAATGGAGAAAAATGAAAAGATAAGATTAACTGTAAGACCAG